ACGAAGTATAAACGAGAACGAGTAGATTTATCAAGGCAAGACAACGTTACTTGCGCGATTATTCTATATTCAACCGTTAAGTAATCATTAAATTGAAGTATTGCCATTAAGGGGACTTATCGCATCGGAGCCAGTAAATCACTTTTTCTTAGCCTTTTCTAAGAAAGTATTCTATTTTATCAAGAAACAAGTTATGTTGAATGTCACTTATATCCAGGAGAAGGTAGAGAAAGGCTTTGAGCAAACACGCCAAACGAAAAAATAAATAAAAGAGACTTTCAGTAAGCTTACTAGGAGGAGTGTATCAAAGTTCCTCGTGCTAACGTTAACGACTAAGAGTGGAAACACAACGATCGGCACGACCGGCGTTGGGAAAAGTACACTCTTAAATTATATGTTACACAATGAAATGAAATGAAAAATGAAGATAACGGGGCTGTAGATGCCATAGATTCTGCAACCTTTAAGGTCGGTCATGAAATGGATTCAGAAACTTCATATGCGAAGCCAGTTATAAGCAATCACTATCCTTGGGTTTTCACAGATTGTCCAGGTTTTTTGGATAATAGAGATCCAGACGATGCTGTTGTGACTGCAATTAGTAGTCCCCTGGCGGTTCGAAATGCCCGTCAGGTTAAAGCTGTCGTAATATTAATAGAAATTAGTGGTATACTCCGTGCGGGACTAGAGGAATTAAGCACATTGCTGAAAGTACTGATTACACTTTTTCACAACCCAGTCGATATGGTAAACTATTCCGTCTTTGGTATAACAAAAACAGATCTTTTGGGATTGACAGAAGACAGAGCGAAACAAAAAGTTTGGGATGCTTTTAAGAAAATCGTAAAGCATTGTGATCAAAAACTGGATACGATCAAGAAGGAGCCATAAAAAAGTGTTGAATCTCCCCGATATTTTTATATTATGATTGTAACGAGATCAAGAATCTGGGATTTTGAGCTTTCCTTTCCTTTAGTCTACTTTTATTTGGAAGCCCAAGCCAAGCGCGATATCATACACACGTTAACGAGACATAAGAACTGTGACAACAAATCAGCTCTAGTACGAACATAACTTGAATACCATATCCAAATACACGTGAACATTTGTAGCATGTGATCTTAATCTAGTACAGTACTGTACTGTATATAGTAGAAGCATGGAAAACCAAAATAAATTTAGGAATGCTATAATTGCATGGCGAATAAATAATGACCAAATTCTAAGTAAAAGATTGTCTTCTGTTCTACTGCTGTATTGCATGAAGATATGACCAAATGCGTATTGCCCGGCCAAAGTCCAGCAAATCCTAGATTTCGGACTTTGGCCGGGCCAATACGCGTAATGGCCGAGTCACACACGGCCAAAGCCCGATTGGCTATTGTTCACAATAATCGTAGTTTACACAGTACGTAATGTCGCCGGTAGCAACAAAGTAAGTAACATTACTGACCATATTAGCTTGCGTATTACGCGTATTGGCCGGCCTAGTTTGGTCTATACGCGTATTGGCCCGGCCAAAGTCCGAAATCTAGGATTTGCTGGACTTTGGCCGGGCAATACGCGTATTGGCCAACTTCGGGTTTTGGCCGTAATATCGCGCTATAAACGATATTTTGAACAGATGTAGACATTGCTACGATTGCGGAAGGACCTCTACGTACTCTTCATAGAGCAACATAGAGCTGACCATGATTAAAAAGCGGTGTTGGCAAGCATAAGCCAATCTTTTCCAGAGACTGGCATTGAGATTTATTTATTCGCGGTAATTGCAAAAGCCAATTTCACCGTATTATTTACAGTACAGTACTGTATATTAGCATACTGTACATTAGGCCTGATCATTTTGCATAGATTTTTTTATACACTTCGTTTAAGCTGTCCTACTGATACATTAGACATGTATTGACATATCTAGAAAAAAATAAAGAAATCGTCCAATCTCACGCGGCGCAAATCAAATTTGTGTCCTGCATCATCCCCGTGCGAGAAATTATTTTAAATGATCAGGCCTACTGTACATGTTTTAGCGCATTTTGCATAATTTATTGATTTTGTTGTTTGAATCGATCAGATGCGCCATAGGGCATCACCGATAAACGCCCCAAGCCAATAATCAATTCTATTTGAACCAATCAGATGGTTAAATATGTATTTCATCCGTATATTTTAGTAATTTTTTAAAGAAAAATAAACTCAGTAGATTTAAAGAAAATAATCTCGGTAGCAAAGAAAAATTGCTACCGAGAAATAAATGTCAGTAGAAAGTGAAGTAAACTGTAAAAGGTTTCGCATAAAAGATGACGAGCATCAACGAGATTCTAAAGAAGTTAGAAAATGGTTTTGAACATACTCGGAAGGGCGAAGGTAAAGATTTAGTGTTAGCTATTGGTAATACTGGCGTTGGCAAAAGTACTTTTCTGAACTACATGCTAAAGCATAAAATGTGTCAGGACCAAAATACTGGAAATATAGATACGGTGCAGCCTGCCACCTTTAAGATCGGCCATGAAATGGAGTCAGAAACTTTATACGCTACGCCATTTGTCAGCGAGATCTATCCTTGGGTTTATACAGATTGTCCCGGATTTCAAGATAATAGAATATCAAGTGATGCTGTCGTAAGTTCTATTAGTACTGAATTGGCGGTTCGAAATGCTCGTCAGGTTAAGGCTGTTGTGATTTTAATAGAAGTCCATACTTTACTCTCTGCAAGACTAAATGAGTTAAGTCAATTAATGAAGACACTAATTTCGCTCTTTAAGAGCCCAATCGATATGGCCAATTATTCCATCGTGGCTATAACAAAAGTAGATTCTCTAGGACTGACAGAAGAGACTACAAAGCAAAGAATGTTGCAAGGTTTTAAAAAAATCGAAAGGAATTGTGATGGAAATCTAGAAATGCTTAAAAATAAGTATGAAAGAAGTAAATCTCCTTTAGCTGATGATTTACATTCAGCATCTGCCCCGACACCGGAAGATTTTGCATTTATTAAGGCTTTTGTTGCTGCTATACTTCAAAAGCAAGATGATATAGTATTTGTTAAACCCTTAGATGAAGGCCAGTCCAGAGAAAGAGTTATCGAACTGATTAAAGGAATTAGGCCACATAAATCGAAAAAATTGTATAATCAAATAGTCTCTGCTGTGCGTTCTTTTCCCTCGTCTTTCGGACCCTTGAGCTCTGATCATGATAAAGATAAGCAAGAGAAAGTTAAACGTCTTACTGTGAAGGATTTTAACTTTCAAACATACAGTGAGCAAAGAATACTTTTTAATAAGGCTATTTATGATCGCGCACATGATGGTAACGAACTAATAGAAGCTATCAAGACACAATCAAATCAACTTAAGAGTGCTATTAACACTTGCCAAGAAAGTGAGACTAGAATTATGACACTAAATGAACTTAAATCAAATCTTCAACGCTTATTTTATGATTCTGGAGATTCAACTGGCTCTATAGAAAACTCAGAGACACTCATCGCTCGAAATAGGACTACAATTAATTCGCAATCAGAAGAGAAGCGGACTATTAAGACACGTATAGTTACCTTAGATAGAGAGTTAGCCAAAATCGACACGGATGAACTTAAACTATTTCGTTCTGAGCATCTATCTAAAGACTGGTCTTTTTGGAGAGGTTGGTTTTATATATTAGACTTTGAGGCTAAAACTGATAGTGAATCGATTCCAATGGTTATTGAAAAAGATCAAGCAAATGGGGGTTGGTACGATACCGTCGATCAACGTAAAAAAGGCTATTATAAAACAAAATATGTTTCTCAATGGTTCACTGAAGCTTATGCTAAAGTAGATGCTTATATTAAAACCAAGCAAGATACAGGTAATCAACTACGGATTAAAGAGATTAGCAAGGAGATAGAATCTCTGCAAAATCGAAAAACAGAATTACGGGCAAGCTTAAATGAGCTTAAAGAAGCGAACAAAATCTTGATTCAGAATATTGAATCTATACGAGATGGGAAACTTAAGGCGGCGAAAGATCAGGAAATGAAGATTACAGAGTGTGATCAAGAAATTAATCGACTTTCTAATAGAATTAAAGAAAATCAAAATTTAATAAAAGAAAGTAAAAGTAAAGGTACACAATTGTTAAAATCGTTCTTCGAAGGTAGTCCTGATAACGCTAGAGTACCTGTGAAATTTCAAGTTATTAAAGAAGTCGCTGAGTTATTAGACTTTCCCTCTCCTTTAGTACAGGTTTTTATAAAATGCTACGATCCGTTTATAAAACAGCAGCTATCTGATATTCGTAAACTTTTTGAGATTAATCCTGCTACGATTAATTTTAGCACATTACCTACTCAAGCGGTCCCTGAATGTGATGAGGACATTGGTCCTAAAGATCCTATAACGAGTCAACGAATTATAACTCCGGTAGTAACTGATGCTGGCACCCTATTTGATTTACAATCATTGCGTAAATGCTTTCCTGAACATCCTACTAAAGAAGATGTATATGAATTCTCCCACTATGACGGACGAGTAGAGCATATTCACTATTTATGCTGGAAACAAATCGGTAATCTTAGTGAATATTTGTATCAGAGAAGAAGACAGACATCTCCAGAAAAACGTCACTCATTTATTAACATACCGAGTGATTTAAATGAGTTACTCAGAATACAATACGATCTTCAGCAAGAAATAGCTTGTATAGAAAAGGAATTTAAGGCGGCGATGGATAAAAAGCAAATAGAATTAGAGAAGATTAATACACAGATTCAATCGCTTCATATATCAGAATCATCGGATAAAGATACTTTCAGTGATGAAGAATATGAGATTGTATCTTAAAAGTACTTTGTATCTCTTACTCCATGTTCCACATAGTTAGCGATGATTTATTACTATAGTATTAAGCTAGTTGTACCAATGTATGTGTACATGATTTGAGTAATGTTATCATTCCTATTAGAATTCATTGTTAATTGATAGATATTTGTTAATTCAAATAACTTTACGACATTATTATCTTGTGATGTCTCTTGAATTAATTGCTAAAATTTATAATAAGCATATATTAATTCTTAGAGGTATTTTTCTACTATTTGATAGACTTGCTTGGCATTCAGGAAATGTCGAATTTGTTGTTTAATTTTTCGAGAAATAAGTAAAAAATGACTCAATTAACATCTAGTAATCCATATGATAATAGCCATATACAGCATATCATTCGCAGGGTAATTTGCAATAGTACTGTATACTACATTTAAACGGCAGGTTTACTAGTAGATATTAATAATTTTAGTAATTCATTACGGTTCTTAAATTAGTAAATTGTTACAGATATTTGATGTAAAGATGAAGATTAGGGCAAAGATAATAACGATGGTAATAAATTCTTAAGATACGGGTCATTGATGTTAACATTTAAATATTGTCAATTTGGCTGCCAGTACTATAACATATCGATACAAAACTTTGTTGCCGTTGGTTCCCAATTATAATGAACAATTATTGTCATAATAACACTAGTTCATTACGGTACTCAAATTCTGTTAAAATTTAGTCGATTTTTATTACTAATGACATCTGAAAAAAGAGGTTATAATAGGGATAGTAGAATTTTTTATATAAGTACCTACTATTCATATTCTTTTCCTTAGTGCAAGTAATTTATACGAATAGATAGGTATATTAGCCCCCACTGGTCCACAATAGAGTAAATTTCAGTCGAACTCATTATAAGGTTTTAATGGCAAATAATGCTAGAATCCTATTAAATGATAAGTACATAATTTTAACTAAAAGGTAAGGTAATTAGGTAAGTGATTACTACAAAATAAGCTACAACATCGACTTCACTTTTACTTTCTAAAAGGAGTTACTGCGCCTCTAACAATTAACCCACAATGGCTACTATAAACCATATCATATCATAGTTATACCGCTACAATGAATTCGATATCAGCTCTGATAGCATTAGGCGATCGGTATCATTATTGATCTAGTATTGTGCGTATAAAAAGGAGATGCTTATTAGATACGCGTATTTTCGGTAAGCAACCTATTTATTAACCTTATCAATTTCTGGAAGATATTCTACCAGTGTATTACTTATTTAACGTAGTAGTTATTCTCGCATTATTTCCTATTTATAATTGGTATCATTTATCAGCCTTATAATATTAATCTATGTGCGACTACAGCATTATTTGATTATTGTTAAATTATCGTAGTTGTTCACAGTTGAATTTCTAATAAAAATCTTGTGAGAAAAAATTTGATGGTATAATTTCATTTGTAAACTTTTAAATACTTAACATAGTGTAAAATCTTTCCAATTTTTACATACTTTCACCTGATTTGGCTAATTTCCTATTTTCAACTGTTCATAATAATACTCTGCGCCCTGTTACACGGAAGTATGTAGTGTTAATCCTACAATAAACTGTTTTCGATCTGGTTTCTATCCTACAGTACCTCATAAATAATTATGTATCTTTGAGCGGTAAGTTTTCAATTAAATAACATGTTAGGAATTAGCAACATGAATTATCATTTCATAATAAGATGTAATGATTTGCATGGACAACATATGGTTATACAGTACCGACGTAAATATAAAATCCTAAGGCGATGATTTACAATAAGATGCCGCCCAATATAAGTGCTAGATATCTTTTGCTATTATACGAATTCCATACGAGTCCAAGAGTACCATATAAACAAAAGTACATTTGTGTAAACTATCTCGAGGGAATATTGCACTAGTTTACATAAAGATGCGATTGATATGCCTACTCCAAGTTCATGGTCTGGGTTAAGCTCAAGTAGTTCGTGAGCTAAAATCAATAAGTCTGGAATTTAAGAGATACTCACTGAATCTCTTGTGTAAGCTGTCGTACTCGATCTAGGCGCACAATGCTCGTATACTGCATTGAGGATCTCTAATAATGAATTACATATTCGAGCAACTACACTTGGAAAGATGACCTTCCAGACTATTTCCTTTACACATTTCAGATTGCGACTTTACAACACTAATCAATGCCGTCATCGTGATGTAAAGCCATAAGTAAGTGATTAAAATTCTTCTATTGCTTATTTACAATATTGAACCTTATGCTTTGAATCGACCAGTAGTAAACAGCTACATAACGATGTCTCTTGTTTACATTATGACCGGATAAGTCATTCTAAAGTTTTCTTTCTAGTTAGTGTCAGGTATTAGCTCTTTATTTAGTTTTTTGCGTTTTCAAAAAAAATTGCTATCGGTCGAGCCATAGTTGAAATCCAGTGGAAAGGAATTCTAATAAGTAAAAGGAGGGATCACCATGCCTGCGATAGAAATCAGTGAGATACAAGCCAAATTGGCAGCTGGTTTTAAACTAACACAACAAGCCAATGGCAAAGACTTAGTTCTGGTGATCGGTAATACTGGTGTGGGTAAAAGCACCTTTCTTAACTATATGTTGGGGCATACAATGCGTGAAAATGAAGAATTAGATGTGATAGAGGCCGTAGAGACGTCTGCCTTACACATTGGCCATGAGATGCGTTCAGAGACTTTATACGCACGGCCGGTTGTGAGTCAAGACTATCCTTGGGTTTTTACCGACTGTCCGGGATTTTTGGATAACAGAATAACCAATGATACAATTGTGACTTCTATTAGTATGGAATTAGCGATTCGTAGTGCAAATCAGGTCAAAGGAATTATTATCTTGATGGATGCAACTGAGTTTTTGAATAGTAGATTGAGTACTTTAAGTCCATTGATGAAGATATTGATTAAATTGTTTAGAGATCCAGTTGAAATGTTAAAGTATTCTGTAATTGGTGTGACCAAAACGGATAAGATGAAAGGTGGAAAAACAAAATCTAAAAGAATGATGGTGCAAGCTTTTGGTAAAATCAAAGAAGAATGTCAGAGAAAAATACAGACTCTTCAGTCAGAATTTGAAAGACAAGGTCATAAAGCTTTCTTTTCTATAGGGAGTGAGAATAAAGAGGAAAGCGATCTGAGAGAATTAACTGTTAGCGACTATAAAGTGATGACAGAATATATCAGTGCAGTACTTAGACGACAAGATGAGATCGTTTTTATTGATGTTCTTGATGACGGCGATTCAAAGCAACACATTATTGATCGTATTCATGCAATTAGGCCGAGAACTGAAGCTCAAACGGGCCACTCACTACAGGATACTCTTCCAACTGCGTTATCAGCATCCGCTGAATACTTGCAGCTAGATACTTTATCGCTACGGCCTATTACAGTAGCAGATTTTAATTTTGAGCATTATGATGTAAATAGAAGACACTTTAATCTTGCTATTTATGATTTTGCTAGTGAAGGTAGCCGATTAATTGGTGCGATCATAGGGGTAGCAAATCAACTGAAACGCATGATCGATATGTGGCAAGACAACAAAATTAGAATGGCGGCATTGAATAAACTAAAATCAGAGTTACAAAATTATATCTCTGTTTCTGAAGGCCCAAGGAAATTATTGAATACCTGGTCAGAAATGCTTTCAGAAAATGCTCAATCCATTCAATCAGCGCAAGAAGATATTCATTCGATTAAAAATCAGATAAAAAAGCATGAACAAGAATTGAATGAAGTTAATACTGATAAACCCATAAAATTTGCGGAAAAAATATATCTCAAAAAAGAGTGGTATTGGACCCACCATAAGGAACTCTTCAAGTTTGATACTGAAAATGAATCAGTACCAATAGTCGATGTAGACAAACACATAGGTAATGGTTGCTGGTGTTATACGAAAGATGAAAGAAAAAAAGGCCGATATAAATCGTTATATCTATCAGACTGGCTGGCGTACGGGGATGCTAGAATAACTGTTTACATTGCTTCTAAGGATGAAGAAGGCAACCGTAAGCTCGTTAGAGATCTTCAGACAGAAATTCATCGATCTGGAGAACTCTTGGCTGAGATACAAGCTAATCTATCGTTGCTTGAAGAATCTAAAGATCGTTTATTATCCAGTATAAAATCGATGGAAAATGTAGTTCAGGAAGAAGTAGAAAAGGATCGAGCTGATAAAATGTTGCAATGTGATGGAGAAATTGAGCAGTTATCTGCTCGTATGACAGAAAATCGAAAGCAGATAAAAATGACTAAAGCAAAGGCTTTAAAATTATTGAAAAAATTTTGTGATGATTCTGAATCTTTAAATATCCATAAAAAATTTAAAATTGTCAAAAGTATTAATGAGTTACTACAACTACCAGGCACTTTAGTGGATAAATTCATTGAACGTTATGAGGGGTTTAAAGCTGAGTTTAAAACCATACAAAAATGTTTTCGGATAGACTTAGATAAGGAAGATTTGAGCCAATTTTCGCAAGATAATTCAACGGATCAATTAGATAGAGCTATAAATAGAAAAGATCCAATAAGTGGTAAATGGATTAGGACGCTGGTAGTAACAAAAGCAGGAACAGGATTTGAATTATCTTCCTTAGTGGAGCAATTTCCTGAGAATTGTATAGGGAGCGTTTTTGAATTTATTCATCCTACTGGTAAAAAAGAGCGCATTTTTTATGGTGATTGGACTATCATGTCTGAATGGCCCGCACTTACAGGGCAAGAAGAGAGATTTTCTCAAGCCGATCAAGTACTTGGTATGTCATCGAATGATCCACTGGAATTGATCAAAGTGAAAAAGAGTGTAGAGGAAGAGATAGAGTTGTTAGTGCAAGGTATTCAAGAGCAAGAAGAGGAACTCTTTGCAAAGCGAGATCAGTTAAAAAAAATCACCGAACGTCTTAAAGGGCTTGGCTTTTTACTTTCAGTAGATGAAACCGAAGAGACTAGTTCCATTGATAGTAGTTTTATCCAAATAGATGCTATAGATACTTCCTTTATTCCTGATGTTAGCGCATAAGCGTATTTTCTTAGAATAATTAGTGCAAAATCTTCGCTAGACTAACACATAGAATATTCAAGAATCTTACTCGAATCTTTATTGATAATAAAGTTCTTTGGAGAATATTAGCAATTCCCACTATTGAACACTCGTTTATACTATCTATCGAGACTCGCTTACCCCCTGCACGCCGACTAATGTTAGTTGTTATTTACTTGCGCGTGTATTCAAGTTCCAATTTATGTCAGCATATAACCATCGGATCGATGTAATTATAGTTCAGTAGTTGTTGTTGTCGAGTATTGTGGATATAGCTAGCTAGGCATTTGATAAATAAAGAAAGTTACTTTACACGATTACCGACTGGAGTATATTACAGATTTACACTATCGACTACTAGTAATTTTAGTAGTCCATACTTTATACTGTCTTGTGTGGCATGATTGATCTCGCTAATTTATATATAGCAATTTGATTCAAGCGTACTACCAAACTAATAAAAAATCACTTTGGCGATGTTAGTTTGATTGACCAATATTGATTGATTTTGAATTATTATTAATATTTATCCTGATATGCTGGTACTCTACGGTAGAGATTATCCAAACTTTTACTTGAGGGAATTAGGTTAATTGTTTTACCATTATAGTGATAATAAATAAATATAATTAAGGATGTCTCGGAAGAGCGCAGCACATAAATGAATATATTAGCGTATGTAACTAAAATATCGATAGTGTAGTAAAAGACCAGGGAGATATTTCTTTTCACTTCGAGGATTTGTATATATAATCATTAGTAATCAATACAATATCGCATTGGTTATAGGTAATACGGGCGTTGGTAAAGGCACTTTCGTCAATTATATGCTTAGGCATGAAATGTTCAGAGATGCAGAATCTGCAGCTGTAGATACCTATGGTCCTGCTACCTTTACGATCGGTTATGAAATGCGGCCAGAAATCTTATATGCGAAGCCATTTCTAAGCGAGAAATATCCCTTGGTTTTCAAAGATTTCCCCAGATTTCAAGATAATAGATTATCAAGCGATGCAGTTGTGACTTCTATTAGCACTGAATTGGCGGTTCGAAATGCTCATCAGGTTAAAAGTAATTTTAATGGAAATCAATAGTTTGCTCGGTACGAGACTACCTGACTTAAATCAAATGGCGAAGACACTGATTACGCTTCAAGAGGCCAGTCGATATGAGAATGAGTAACTACTGTAATCTTTATATGGGTATTAGTTGCTTTCTAGTCGATTTCTTCAATAATTCATGCTTTATCATAAGAATCTATGTAGCCTACATCTTGCATTCTCGATCAGATCAACAGAAGAGAAGACTAATTTCTTACCCTATTGCAATACTTTAAATACAGTACGGTGCTCGTACTACGAGCATATTGCAAATTCTTAATTTCTCATGTGTCTGCAACGTCAATGAAAATACACATACTATATGACGAATTATAATTATTAAATCATAGTATGAATGTTTGGCCATTTCAGTCAGTCCACATAGAGACTAAGCAATTTGTTTTAACTGGCAGCAATCAATGCCTGTTGTCGCACGATACCAACCACAAAGATTTACTTCTTGTACTTGACTATTGAATGTGATCAAGCAGTGAATTAATTTCCTACTTGCTGATCACATTACTATCCTATTGTGGAAAAACGCGAATCCGGAAGCTCATTGACCTAAATTTTAATCTTTAAACTGAAAAAAAACGCGAAGTCCGGAAATGATTAAAGATTTTAACTTTCAAGCTTATTGCGAGCAGAGAATATCATTTAATATAGCTATTTATAACTATGCGCATAATGGCAATGTACTAATAGGAGATTAAAGAGCAGTCTAAGCAACTAAAAAATGCTATTAAAACATATCAGGAGAGTAAGAATCGGTCCGAGGCACCAAAAACTTTGAAATCAGACCTTGAGAATCACCTTTCTGGTTCAGAAGATTCAACTAATTCAATAAAAACATCGGAAGAAATCCCAACTCAAAATAATCAATTAAAGAACATGAGGTAAAGCTATTGAGAAGGAAAAAACTAAATTACGTAGAGAAGTAACTGGTATTGATACAGATGACCTCATGCTATTTCGTTCAGCTTCTCTTTCTAAAAATTGGACTTTATGGCATAGTTGTTTTTTACGATAGAGTTTAAGGCTGATACCAACGCTAAGTGGATATCAGTCAGTGTACATACTGAGGAGAAAATGGACAGTGGCACAATACAGTAGATTGATCGAAAGGTTATTATAAAACAAAATTCCGTTCTAAATGGTATGTTAAAGCTTATGCGAAAATGGAAGCTTATATCAAAACCAGACACGATGCAGGTAATCAACTTCGGATCCAAAAGATTATCATGAAGATAAAATCACTTAAGAGTAAAAAAAAATAAATTAGAAACAAGTTTAGAAAAGCTTAAAAAGGAAAACAAAGTCCTAAATCAAAATACGTATTCAATCTTTACATGATGGAAATCTTAATGCAGAAAATAATCGAGAAGATTGCGAAATGTGATCAAGAAATTAAACAGCTTTCTGGTAGAATTGAATCAAGCCGAAGTTTGATTGAAAAGAATAAGTAGGTACACGACTATTGGATTCACTTTTTTTAAAGTGTTCCCGATAAGGCCACAGTACCGTAGAAATTCCGGCTTATGAGAGAAATTGCGGAGTTGTTAGACTTTCCATCCCATTTTAATACAAGTCTTCGTGAAGCCAGATAATCATTTTATAAAAGATCAGCTTCCTTTTCTTCGCTAGCTTTTTGAGATAAATCCTGATAAGGCTGTGTCACAAATTTCTTCTTCGTGAACGGTTAACTCCTCTAGCAACTAATATCCTAATACATTCGAGGTACGTATAGGCAATGAATTACTCGAAAAAGTATTCCGTTAAAATGTTTACTATATCGCTCGACGAGCCTTTCTAACTACTGATTTTCGGAACAACTAGTCGTTGTGAGCTCGCTCCTTTTATGCTCTCTGGGAGCGGCCGCTGGTGCATTCTAACAAACTGAGCTCTAATCATTTTCTTCGTTTAGTGCAAGATTACATCTTACAATCAATAATAGGACTCAGTATAGTCAAAATTGGTAAACAACATTAATTAGAATAAACCAATTAAGAACCAATTAGAGCTTTGAAGCTCTAAGCAATTTCCACAGGTGCAAGTAATTACCAGTTAGATTACTTAATAAATGTTTCAAGAAATAGCTTATTTTTGCTGAAATTAAATAGATGCAGTAAAACAGTTTTGATATTTCTATCTTGTAATCTATCTTTGTAATTGATAATTTAACTTTCCGGATATACTGAAATTTACTGGAACTATACATAATTATAGTAAACTTAATCCCTTTTGTTTCTTTCTAATATCTATTTTAGGAATAGCATAATCAACTGTTCCAAGTATAAATTTAAGCGTACATCCTGCATAATCTAGAAACATCATCAAAAAGTATGTTACTCAAATGTTAATCATACGTTTGGTTTAAAGTTTAATTCCCGTTCATTTAAACAGGCAGTCTACGAATATCTCATGATAAAAGCTGATTGGGTAAAAACGGGAAATTTTTTCTTTCAAAAATTAATCAAATTGATACGATCTTCCTATTCTTACCTCATCATATAGTACAGAAAATTCCATCACCCTAAAATTTAACATGTCGAGTAGCTCTTTTTATCCTTTTAAATCTCTGTTTTGTTTGCATTGCGGAGCTGGTAGCCGACATAACATTCCTAGTCCACTAGGTCTGTATGAAAAAGGGCTAGTAGAGGCGGTAGATAGAGTCGGTTTTCGGTTTGCTGAAGTAGCACTTGCCTCGGGAGTGGTCTGGCTTTCTGATGTTATTGCAGTTGTAGACACTTACATAGCATATAACTCTTAGATGAAAGCTTATAGCTAGATAGTTTAACTCGTTAACGAAGTTTTACATATACTAACCTATTTAATTTCGTAAAACTAATTCTATGTTAACAGTCCTCTTACTCATACTAGAAATGGCAGGGTATCATTAAATTTTAAAGCCACCTTTCGATGCAATTTGCTAAATAACAATCAAATTACGGCAAACTAAAGCATTAGACACGCTACATTGGCAAGTGGATTTATTTACGTATAAGACGTGAGAATATAATAATTACAATGCTATACAAAAATCACAGAGGAGTATTCTCTTTAATGTTAAAATATAGAAATAGTTAGTTACGCTACATCAATTTTGATGATAAATTGTATATTTTTAATTAAATTTTAATTTCTACATAGATTAGAAAGTATTGATAGTCTATTTTGTCTACTTTATGATAGATTTTTTATTGTAACAGTTCGATATCATAATTACACGACATTATCAGCTGTTAATAAAATAAAATAAATCATTTGTGAAATATAAGTAACAAGTCGGTATTATAAGGATTAAAGCCAACAAATCCTGGAAAAAAGGCATAAATATTCAGCAAATTATGCTAGATACAGCAGGAGTTTATTTAATGTCATTATTTTGATATTGCCGAAGTTGTTGTAGGTTAAAAATTGATTTTGTTCTTTTGTTATTATCCGTGAATCTATCAATTGCAAGACGGTAATACTTCTTATATTAGTTGAAGAATTCGGCTAGACGAGGATCTGAGCGTAACTTTTGTTCTAGCGCCAGATACTTGTGCGGAGCTAGTTCTTTATGTCTGCAAAATAGAAAAGTAGATTTGAACATAAAATCAATTTTTACGACAAGTAAAAATAGCTGTAACAGTAAGTTATCAAAGCAAAACTCAAAATTTAATGGTAAAATAAAGATATTCTAGACATGTACGCATAAAATGCGATAAGCAAATCGCTATTTTATACCTGCTTATTACCCTCTCCCCTAAAAAAATTATTAAACTATTATTATCATTTACATGCTACTGTTGCAGTTGACTGTAGTCCAACATAAAGAGTATTGTAGATCAAATGTGAACAGATGACTTCTTTACTTGTTTGTAACGTCGATTAATTTAAGAATGTAATTTTAGCATCTTATAGCGCCTTAAGGCTTTATTAACTGTGTTCTGCTTAAACAAGAAACACAACATTAGGTTCTTTTTAATATCAACATGACTTAGACTTTACCGATTAAGTCGTAATTCCAAAATATGTATCCTAAACATAGCTTCGCTACAGTAATTTAGGTATTCCTCCTCATCTTCCTTTTGCATAGATGCTTGATTCTGTTGATACCAGGCCTGTTTGCGTTGTAATTCTTGTGTTTCCTAAGTAAAGTTAAATTTTAATCATGAGATAAATGATATTAGTCTATGGTAATTGCTCATACAGATGCAATATAATCATCGTGATGGCTTTAAGAATATTATTCATAGCGATATATTCGTGAAAGACTTGATATGGTGTCATATCATTAGATAAATTTTTATCTATGCGATACTGACTTTTTCAAATCGGCTTTGAATTAAGTTAGCTTGATCGATCAATCGCTGTTTAAGATCTTGTAAACACTTCTCTTTCAATTCGTAAGCATTACTTCGAGTGATATTTTCAGCATTTTCGATTTGTGCCAAAAATGGTGCTAAATAATCTAATTCGCGTTCATCGCGATGTAGCTCTTCCTCGCGTTGTTGACGTAGCTGGACGAAGTTAATAGGGGAAAAAATAGTCCAGGCATTAATATATTATTATTAAAGCCATAAATTTATAGTTATTGACTAACTCTAATAGTACATTTGCAATTTATCTTAACCAATGGCAATCAGAAAGCTTACCAGTTCTTCGCGATGCAATTTCGCTTTCACATTACGGTCGGTATCATACACCGAAATAGAAAGTTCTGATGCAGTTTCTTCTTTTGATCGATCAATTAATATTTCTCGAACCTAAATATGCAAATTTTAAGAGTAGGAGACTTAAATATATGAAACTTATTCCAAATTTTTATCAATGATATTCAATTATGTTTTTCTTTAAATTTAACAATGACAACTTACTTCTGCTTCAGATGCTCTAACCGCATCGATACTTTTCAATTCTTCACTAATGAGTGAAGTTAACATCTCATAAAGATGGCGTAGTTTAGGCTGTTTCTGATGTATATCAACCTATCAAGATATTTCTGTCATATTATCATCACCAGGTAATTTAATTATTTTATTACTTCACCTAGACTAAACACTAGGGCTGTCATTATTTACATCCATTGCTATACTGCTTTAAATTGTCGATTTAGATTATCTAATTATTAATATTATACATAAATTACCTGAAATGTTGATGTCATATCTGGTGTCATTGATAAAGTAACACCTTTATCATGAGCATTTGCTGGTTTTAGGAATTCTCTTTTCGATGCTGTAATACGATTATCTCCAAGGTGATAAATTAATTGTATTCTGTTATCCGAGATTTGAAATATTCTTTCAGCTACATCATCATCAGCTAATTTCTCAGCGTTTCGATTAAATCTCTCCACAATTTTCTAGCAGTGATAACGATATTATTATTATATTACATTAAACATATATTAAATATCACATTGTATATATTGAATAAATTGATAAGTTTGTCTTCTGTGTTATAAAACTGTACATGTGTATGTTATATAGTCAAATAATTTCAAACTAATTATTTGAATATGCACCAAAATTGGCCTTTCAGATTCTGTCATCGGATTATATTTCTTTGCAGGGCCAAATTTTTTTGCACGACTACCAAAATATGTTGCTCGATAATATAGGAAATCAGGTCGGTCTTTAAAAGTTTCTACCATCGATGTTGGCGTTTCCTCTCGGCTAACAAGTCCATCGACTCGAGCACTATAAATTAACAGTATCAAAGTATAATTTATATGTTATGGGCAGAATCTCTAATTGTAAAATAATTTAGCAGAAAAAATCTGAACGATGATTAGCATTAGAATTTGGACCGATATATGCTATAAATATGAATATTGTAATTCCACTATATATAACTTCAATTTCTCACAAGTTATATGAGATGGATCTGCATAGATAGATCCGCATAATGATAATCGTAGTACATCAGATCATATTTGCTATAAATACGGGTATACATATATTTCATTAGTGATGCACAGTAGTTTTAATATCTTACGGGCTATAAAATATCATCACTCTTTCATTCTCAGGCCCTGGAGCGGAATATTGAAAGGTGTGCTCTGAATCCAATTTGAAAAAGAAATCAAATTAAATTATTAATTTTTAGACTTTCTTATTTATAGTACTAGTCGTAGGATATTTAATAAAAACCTTTAAGTGCTTGCATTTTGCCGATATTAGACCCAATACGACCTGGAGAAAATTCTTCAGTAATTTTACCGGTGGTGTGATCATAACAACGCAAATTTAATTTATCTTTGCGATGTTTAAACCACTCTTTTGTTTTAAGCACATTTTTCACTGTAATTTGCAATCAAATTATATATTACTAACTTGACAGCTCAAAAACTACATTGCTTAAAGCGCTTCATTAGGAAGTATGTTATATCGCTATCAAATAATTACTTTCAATATCGTCGAATATGGATAGTTTTGTGATCAAGCCATCTCGGACTAAATATTCAGCAAATTTTTCCAGTTTTGCTCTTTTGTACAAAATAGTTTTTTTGCCTTGAGGACTTCGTGTCTGATACTCTAGTAAAATTAATTGTAATCGGAGTATAGCTAATTGGAACTTGAAAGTTTACCACACCGTACTGTATTTACATACGAGTGTTACATAGATTTGCTTCGCCTGAAATCCAATAATATCGGCAATAGTAAAATTTACCTGTGCGTGATATCTCAATCGCTTCAATCCATGCTGGCGGTAAATCAATCTGTTCATCTTTTATCTCCTCCTGAATGATTAATAAATTGGTTGAATAATTAAATTGTAGCTGCAAAATTTTAATTCACACAAAATTCTGCACTATACACAAACCTCATCATCATCAAGATCCAATATACTATCATCTTCTTTTTGATGAAGTGCTAGTAGTGGCTTATCAACATTAGGGAATAAAAATTCCCATTTTGCAGGGTCTCCTAAATCGTAAATCATGTTCTGAATAGTATAATTAGAATAATTTTGTCAGTTTTGATTACTGTTAAAAGCCGGCGTTAGGTCGTATACTTTGAATTTGTAAAACAATAAAGAAATGATCTAAATTTTTAACACCTGTACACCTTCCGAACAGTCTTGCATGTTAACCCAAAAATTTAGATTGTTCCATACGCATTCAATGCCGAGGTAGTTGTCATCTTGAGCTGATCTAGCTTGACCAGTTAATGGCTCAATAAAGAATGTTTCAGCGACTTCACGCTTTCCGGATAAAATCATAACCCAACAATGAACTCGTAAGCCATGCAATGGATCTGGTTTGGGCTTTTCTAGTGCCTACAAATGGTGAATTTTTGTTAATCATTTACAACTACCGTAAATTTACAAATTTATCAATCAAGAATTAGGCTAATAGCTTACAGCAATCCTTTTCAATTCTATTTCCTTCTGTTTATTTTCTTCATTCTTAATTTCTTCTACCCTTTTCTTGTCTTGATCACGTAAATACTTACTGCGCAAATCTTTTGGTGGTTTAACAGTATACTTATTTTGTTCTTTAGTAGCCTCTACTTCTACTAACTGTTTAATATCATAAATATAAATGATAATTTACATTAGATTTACTGTCATTGACGACATGGACAATACAAGTGTGCACATGAAATGTAATTTACCTCTTCCTGTTGAGTTATGAGTGGACAAAATTCTCGACTTTGATCCATGTATGTTGTCTCGCGAGAGGCGTAGCCAAGAACGCAATATGCATCATATCCTACTCCAAGGAGCAATGAGCACAATAACATACTGAAATCGAAGCTATTGCCTTTTTGCCTTCTCAGAATTGTCGTCGAAGAGCATAAAATATTGGGCTAATCAAATCAGAAAGTTATTTAAATCAAAAGAAGTTGTAGGAAAGGTATTTAGAAAACTATCTCAGCTTTATTTGATGCATTAATGTCATCTTATTTTCAACTTACTGGCTCTGTTGTTGGTGTTAACGGTTCAAATGTTAAAAAATCGGAGACAAAAGTTGCTGCTCCATCGTAAGTATACAGTTCTTTATATGGTAATTCGGTTGGATGTAATGAAGTGCAAATCAATTTCTAGTGATGTTAAAAATGATGAATGCATCAAGATCACTTTCTACATCATATTAATTTATTTATCCTCAGTACAATAATCAGAAAGTTTTAGAACAGAATATTTACCTCTATTCCGCATTCGTTAAGTGGTGTCATAAACAGTGGCTTTCGATCGCGATATAGATGTGCAAATTGTTTCTTAAAGTTATCGCAATATGACAAGATTAGTTCTTCCTTTTGTGAATTCTGGGTGTATGATAACGGTAGTTGATCTACATCAATATCATTTGGTCTAATAAAAATCAAAATAACGAATTTGTTAAAGCAAGAAAAATATATTGTTAATCTATAGATTTGACTGAGAAGTGACACGTTGCTAGTTCTAATAAAGCCTAGAAAGTATTGTTCGATAGTCTTTGCCTGAGTTGATTTAAAATCGTAATAACCAACTACTATCACTCTTCATTGGTAATTATTTATTAGTTAGTAACGATAAAAGAATTCGACTTCTATTTTAGCATGAGTAGATCTACTTACAGATCGATTTTTGGAGCTTCAATTGTGATTGAAGCTAATCTCTTCTTGAGTTCTTCCATATCTATTGAACATATGGTAGAATACCAGTTACCATTAAGGTTTACAATAATCTATTGACTATCGTAATGGAGATTTTTGGAATATTTAAAGAACGGATCGCGTTGAAAGATAATACGCTGAAATTAAAGCAACAACCTTGTAATAGTTTAATGGATCTTTTTAGAGGATATTCGAAGATATAGCGATGAGCTATAGTAAATCATTAGTTGTATCATCATCGCTGAAATTGAATTTGTTGCATAGCAACGGTAAATGATTGAAAAACGCATGCGCAACTTTCTTCCTACTGGTAGGCAAGGTACACAAATAGTAATCTGGCCCTATACTGTGTAACAATACCGTTTACCAGTAAAGGTAGTGTCGATGAAATCAACACTGCTATTGCACCTTATCGGTTACTGTATTTGCAAAGCTAGAATAGAATCTGCTAGAGCCTTATGCAATAAAGAGCATACAAAATAATCTTAGAGCTATATAAATATAAAGTTGAGCCTGATGAATTATTAGAATTTGAATATTTCTTCACCTTATCTGTCAAGAAGAACTCACCAATACTAGAGTAAAGAATAGTGCAAATCTAATGTTGAAACGGCCGGTCTCAGCTAGGAATATTTGCAAGTGATTTCTACAATATTGCATCACGAACAGACGAGTACTTTTTGATTGTGGATTAACCTGAGAATCCTTGAAGGTAGTTGTTTGCCTGTTATAACTACATATATGTACACTATAATCACTGATGTATCATTGTCAACTATATGATTGATCTATACTTGTTACAGATGTATTTTAAAGTTTTAAATTTTACTATTTGAAATTATTTAATTATAAATAATGAGTCCCTGGTGTCGTAAAGCTCCCTAGCCGGCATTCACAACAATGTTTGTATTGCATCGAATGCAATATGGAAATTGCAACCTAGCATGTGGCTATTTATTTGCAACTACGCCCTCATATCTCTGTGACTACTTAGTTGTTATACTATAATAAATATGAGCTGCGAAGATCAAAGCTCAAAACAGATTTTTTTGCAGTAAAGTTGTAGGGAACACAGTCCGTACGTCAGTTAGCTATATCGATAAAGTGCGATAGATTTGTTTACGGAGTTATAGGGACTCCAGTCTGCTACTATAAACTGCTGAAGTAAACGTAAGATAGGATCCTTAGTAGATGATCGCATATACCGTCTTTCGGCAGAAGCATGAGTTTTTCTCAGATAAGAGTGTGATCGATTGTTAGATTCTTGCCAATTATGATTGTTATTAATTGCTATTTTCCTTTACAGAAATTTTGCTAAATACGTATGATGCTTTTTTCTCGCGGATTGAATTTGGCAAGTAGCTGCAAAAACTCTCACAAACTTACTTCCAGGTGGAATACCTTGAGAACCTTGTATGTGGTACATGTAGATAGTATTAAAATTTAAAATTGAAGTGTTTCCTATTGATAAATTGGTTGTATTGGTGAAGGATTACATGCACGTAGCTATGTGATCGTAGTATATGAGCAGTTATATTTAACGGGTGATCATTTCTTTTGTACTACAAATACTGAATGTATTGAATTAGATCATCAACAAATAAATCTCAAGCTGAACTAACTGACAAAGCTGCTATAAAAAGTCGGCAATGGTATGACGATAGCAAGAAGCGATGTACTTTCATTAACGGCCGCTTTGTTGATCCCTGGCAAGAGTTTCGACTCCCTTCCTTAAGCGATGCATGGCAAATTCTATTTAATGAAAAAGATGAGAGTAATATTCCTTCTAAACAGGTCGTGTGATAGCATAAAGTTATCCATATACTTCTGTTCTATAAATTTATTTATTGGATCTTTATCGTTATTTAGGTCTTAGATTCAATCTTACCGATCGTTACACCAGATCATAATCTATTAGCAAGTCCCCCAGTTGATAAGATTACTACCACTTGGATAGGTCATTCAACATTGCTAACCCAATTTGAAGATTTATCTATCCTAACTGATCCAATCTTCAGCGATAGATGTTCGCCTTCACAATTATTTGGACCTAAGCGATATCGAAGTGCACCATGCAAAATAAATGAATTACCACCAATTGATGCTGTATGCATCAGTCATAACCACTACGACCACTTAGATTATAATTCAGTTGTTGAACTTAACCGACGTTTTCATGATCAGTTGGCTTGGTTTATCCCAAAAGGTTTAAAGAAATGGTTTCAAGAGTGTCATTGTAATAATATCATAGGTAAGCACATTTTTACATTTACATTCGTCACCAGACTTTTGCATTATTTAACTAAGATAAACCTAAATCTGCAACGGTTTTTGCCACATCAGAACTTGACTGGTGGGAAGAATGCAATCATCCATTTCATAAGAAATTTAAATTTATTTTCGTTCCAAGTCGACATTGGTCTAAAAGATCGCTATTTGATACTTGTGGATCTTTATGGGGAGGATGGATAGTTACTGGATCTAATCATAATGTAACTAATTATGCTTTGGCATATCTTCACTTATCATGATATGCATAAAACGAATAATTCACTAGTATTAGTGATACAATAATGTATGATTAAATCTAAAAATACCACGTATGACTTCTTGTATTTTACATGCCATTCTAAGATAAAATTATACTATTGTGTCAGTACCTTATGAAAGCTAGTGATTATCTTTAATCAATTAAATCGCTTAAAACTCTCATTCATCCATTGAACTCTCTAGTTTTACTTTGTGGGTGATACTGGATATTCTGATATCTTTCAATTAATTGGCCATTCCTACGGTCCTTTCGACCTTGCTGCAATTCCTATCGGCTGCTATTTACCAAGGTACTAAATAAAATATATTACGCAAGCATTGGATGTAGTTTTATGTAATCATCTAGAACCCATCTGTTTCACCATACAGGATCTTAATGAAGAATCAGCACGTAAATACTGAAGAAGCTGTACAGATCCATCATGATATTAAATCAAAGAATTCTTTGGGAATTCATTGGGGTACATTTCAACTTAGTTACGAAGTGAGTATTTTAGATTTATATTTTGAAAAATCTCTTTAAATTATATCCGAAATGTCAAATTAATTTTTTTGGACGGTTCCAGCATTATCTAGATCCTCTACATGAGCTAAAACGTCTAACAGCGCAAGAGTCAATGTCTGGCTCTGATTTTTTTGTATTGCACCATGGAGAAAGCAAGATTATTTCTTGAAAATATATGCAGGGAAATTAATAATTTATTAAAACACTTTTGAATCAATGTATTAAATCAATGATCATAGCTTTTCAGTAAGAGGTATCACTTGTACCTTTTCACACATAAAGAGTCGGTGTGATGGAGGGTTCGATATCTCAGAGGATTGAGATTTAGTCGCCATTTACAATTATTACAACAAAGGTGTTATAAAAGTTATGCTTTATTGTAGGTTAGTAATGTGAAGTACAGTGAGGTAGTTACGGTAGATCAGCGTGCAAGCTGTTGTGAGTAACGAGTAGAAGTATTAGACAGTGAGAAACTAACTAGAAGACTAACTGAGAGGCTAATGAACTCTGAGGTAGAAATCGCCGGTGTTTATAGTAGTTTTAAAGATAGAGCACATGCAGAGAATAGGATTGTGGAATTAGATACAACATATACCATAACAGGTTAAAAAATAGCAGATGATTGTAGAAAACAGCAAGTACCGTAATAACTAAATATAGTAGTCTATATATGAATGTAGAGTAAGCGGACTGTAGATCTGTCTAAATATAAGAGCAATACAACATGTCTATATTTAAGAGTAGAATATAGTTATAGTATATTCTAAATACACTACAGTCGGCATTAATAAGGTGGGATACTTAAGTCAGTTACACTATTTAGCAAAAGAGCAAATAATTTTATGAATTTTTAAGTAAAATTATTCGTTAATAATAATATTAATTAAAACAACGTATCATACTAATATCTAGTAGTTGAAATCATTGCTGTTTCTGATGATTTCGTCTGCATGTAATAGTGATATGATTTACTTTATCTTAATTTATAAACTTCTTGTTTTATACCTTTTGCTATACACTTAAATATGGAATTATGGAATACTAATTTATCGTTCGCATTCGACAATTCAGTTACTGTGCATATTTTTCTATCACTGCAAAGTAGTGATATTTTTAAATTTCGTGATAGCTCTCTACTCAATAAAGGCTCTACATAGAAACCTCCGCTATGACAAATGGCAAATACGGTAGCAGTGGTACTGCTTACTGTGGTCGAATTTATAAGTACACATACTTATCAGTAAAATGTTTGATATCCTCCACTTCCGAAAAGCAAACCGAGTAGATATTTAATAGGAGTGCCTTAGGTGGTGCTTAGTATTGAGATTCTAAAATATTGAGGTTGACCGCATGTCTTCTCTGCAGATAATCAAGGACTACTAAACACATACTTTTAAATTCTAATTATACTACAGTATGTCTTACATTGAGGCTTTGCGTTTAGTAGTCCCTGAAATAAATGATGTTTAAAACTTTGTAATCATAAAATAAAACGGCAAATGCCTAGACGCGTATAAGTATACTTGTATTAACGGTCCTGTATAACTGTTACGAATAAAATGATGTCATATCCGGAAAGCACTTGTAGAAATATAGCAGAATTCTTCTACCGCTGTGAATCGATATTGGTAATAGATTAAATCTACTTTAACTTTGATTTCCTTCCATTCTAGTGCGCTAAATTTACGAGGTGTCCTGATATTGATGCAAGTGCGGGTAACACTTCGTAGACAGTTTACAGTAGTGTAGACTATTTTACGGAAAAGTACAGTATAATATATATCAATTATGTAACTGCACTCATAAGAAATTATAGACATGCACTCTTCAGTACATAACAACTACAGTACAGTAACATAAGCTAGAGATAATGTATGAATGTAAAATTGTAAGCTAATCAAATTTAGCGATAGTTGCAGTCTAAGAGCACAGAAATTCATGTGGTTACCATAGAATTAACTTTGTAACAAGAATAGTAGTTTTTTTGCTGTAAATATGTATTATGAGGAAATATATACTTCTTGTCAACTCCTATTATTTAATAATACCACAAATTATGCTAGGCTTCTTATTATCTATTGTAGGAAATTTCACTAGAGGAATACTTTGCATAGTAATAGTGATTAGTAAGAGCCATCCATAGCCCTCTGTTGTCTTTTACTGTTGTAGATAACAGGAGAAAAGAGATAGCAAGCTCATTGTATAACAAATGACCACTTTACTGTCAACCATTAAACATGTCTTATGAGATCATGTCGCGTATTTTCGCAACATTTTAAGATAATCAGAACTGGTAACCAATAATATCAAGTTAACATGAACTAATACTAAATTGTTTTCTACTGATTGAATTTTTACTTTAACGCATTTAACGACGGCTGCTAAACAAGTTAAAAATGAAGCAATAGCTTAGCCTACACTATTTTCGTATTTAGAATGTTATCTCGTATTTTGTATTATGATGATCACTTAATGGCACCAAATAATTAAGCAATCATTTCCTTAACAGCTCTGACAATTGCAGTTGAGTCAATTCCGAACTTTTGCATCAGCACCGAACCAGGGCCGCTACGTGGGATTGCATTGACAGCTAAACGACGAATAGTAATATCTCTTTCACCACTAGCTACACCAGCTACAGCTTCACCAAGACCACCTACGATTGAGACAATTGTTAGAAATACTTTTCAAAGGCAATAATATTCATGAACTGCAGGTAAAAGCATCAGTTTACCGCACGTACCTTCATAATAATGATCCTCAACAGTTATAATTTTTCCGTTTGTTGCTTTGGCACTTGACAAGATGGTATCGCCATCAATGGGCTTCAAAGTGAAGATATCGACTACTCGGATATTAATGCCTTCTCCCTTTAAAGTATTAGCAGCAGAAATTGCTTCATGAAGTGTAACACCTGCGCCAACTACCGTCACTGCGTCGTTATCGCTCTTTACTACAACCTGTCATTAAACATTAGAGTTTCTTCTATTTAGTACAGTCCGTGCTAAACCGAAAAAGCTAATTCAACGTACCTTTGCCTTTCCTATTTCGAAGATTTCGTCATTTCCATAAAGTACGGCAGTCGCTGGGCGGCTTGAACGTGTGAACGTAATACCGTTGTAATTTGCAGCCAACTCAATTGCTCTTTCACAAGACACAGCATCACTAGGATAAAAAACAACCCCTCCAGGAATCGTACGAAACATCGCTAAATCTTCTAAAGCCATTTGAGAAGGTCCATCCTCTCCTATAAGCAGTAATTATTACACAAATATTGTAAGTGATCCCATAATTTAAATGTATTATGCAGTAAAATCAAAATATATGATGGATAGTTGACGTAGTTTACCGATAGAAATGCCAGCATGTGAGCCACAGAAATTAACTTTAGTTTGAGAAATGGCGCCCATGCGAATCTGGTCGAAAGCTCTGGAAAAAAATGCACCAAACGTACTAACAAATGCAACATGGCGATCACGAGTGGCACATCCCACCGCAACACCAACCAAATTTTGTTCAGCAATATAACATTCAATATATCTTTCAGGATGGGCTTTCTTAAAAGTTATAGCAAACGTTGAATTCTTTGTATCACCATCCAAGGCAATTACTCTATCATTTGACTTGCCGAGTTTGGCCAATGCAGTACCATAAGCTACACGGGTTGCAACCTATCATGCATAATTATATAAATATGTAAACATTTTTTAAGAATTACCAGCTATTTACCTTACATAGTAATTGTAACGAAACATCTGATAGATTAACCTTATCTCCCAGTTTGTAATTGGGAGGTTCAGATAATGTTATTTCATTAATGTTAACTCCTGGAGCGTCATCGATGACAGGCTGTGGTTGGGGTAATTGACTATCACTTATTAATGAGCTAATGGCGGCAATAGCTTCATCTGCTTTAGCACCAAGTGCTTTACCATGCCAATTTTCCTCGTCTTCAATATCTAATTCACAAAGACAAATTTTTAACGTCAACGATCATTTTATGTTTAAGAGTAGTTTTAAAACAATACCAACAGGGCGTTGTGAGGTAGCATTACTAACTAGGTATCCCTTTTCCTTTCAAAGTTTTTGCTATTAAGCAAGTTGGTCGTCCCTTAACGGTATTAGCTTCATGCATGGCACGACAAAGTTCTTCAATATCATTTCCATCAACAATTACTGCATTCCATCTATCGCCCAAAATGAATACATGTTAATGTATGGAATGCAGTTCTATACTTTCTTATTGATTAGTAGTAGAATACATCGCTAATCGTAATCTAATCTAGTCGAATGTTTTTTTTTAACGAAAGAGATATTTAATGATAACGAATCCTGTGCAATAAAAATTAAAATGATTTTATTATGAAATAACGGTCTATTGTAGAGCTAGTATATCCCTAAATGTGCGAATATGTAAAGGTCGCACCATAAACAGTAATTGCTCATGAGTACAATACTTTCAAACTTCAGAAGCGCTATAAAACTATTAAAGAAGCGATATTATGTGGTACATCGTATTATGTAACCTTAATACTATATTTCGTTACCCGAATCCATCGAAACGTTTACGATATGCTTCCAAATTATGCTGTAGCGAAGTCGGTTCACTCTGTCCAAGTCGGTTTACATCCACAATACCAACTAAATTGTCGAGTTTGTAATGACTAGCAAAAGCAACAGCTTCCCAAATGCTACCTTCAGCCGTTTCACCATCTCCCATAAGACAGTATACACGGTAACTGAATATATTAATTATATAATTATCAAAATAAGGACGACAGTTTTTGTAATCTATTTACAAATCGTTGCTGCTACTTCATAGGATACAAATAATCATTAAATATGAATAAATTTTCAATGTTCAAAATATTATTATTAAAACGTTCTCTGCTATTTCCTTATACCTGGCATTATCGAAATATTTCCCACTGTAAGCCATTCCACAGGCAACACCCAAACCTTGTCCTAGTGATCCAGTGGCCACATCGATAAAATTCAATCTCTATAAAAAAGGGAGGTAAGTGCTGAGTTTTAGTACAATTCTCTGAACTACGAGATAACCTAAATTTTATCTAAATCTGAATTTGTGGTATTTCGTAAATCAGTAGAACGCTTACAAAGTGACTACGAGATATAGTGATACTAATTAAATCAGTCAAGGTATTCGAACTTATGCGTATATCTATTAAAATTCATCTATAAATTTTGCATAATTGTAGCAAAAAACTATTCACGGTTGCTTCTATTTGAATCTGCATCGCAATAACTAAATATTACTATAATTGCCAAGTATACATCAAGATAACGTATGAGTATCTTAAAATTTAAAATAATCAAATAATCGCTGTACTGGTGTCGGATGTCCTTCCAAGTCAGAGTCAATCTTTCTTAGATTCATTAACTCAGATTCTGAGAAAAGGCCTGCAAGTTGCCATGCAGCGTACAAGATAGGAGCACAATGACCCTTTATAAAAATTTATTGATAATATAATTAGTAACTGGCGAAGTGATGATGAGAACGGTGATTCATGGAATCGAATCTGCAGCAACTTCTTAATACTACATTGCATACAATTACAAAATCAATAAGCATTGGAATCTTATATTGTACGACTTTTTCAAATCTGTTATCAGTTTATCCAGCATATCTAAGTAGTTTAATATAATTACAAGATGTTATTGACTGCAAGCAATCATGTCGCAACGTAACAATCGTATAAATTAGGTGTCGGCGGGTAGCAGTAATGCATAGTACTGTATGTTAAGGTATATGCGTACATTTACAAACTAGAAACTCTGCTTTTGTTAATAAAACGAGATTAATCATGAATAACGGAAAAAGTGTTTAACATAATCCAAGTGAGTTAAATAATTTTGTATAATCAGCACTACTTCTGCTTTTGTTAGATGATAAAAAGAGATTAATCACGAATAACGGAAAAGTATTCAACACCATCTGGATAAGGTAAATAATGATTCCTACTGAGATAAGGTATACCTGTACTGTAAACGTGTCTGTCTTTCCTCATTCAAAACACACTGTACTGTATACCACTGAAAAAGTTCTGAACAATTATGTAGAATATATTTTTAGGTTACAATATAATATATGGTTGGTTTGTCGTAACTACGTAACCCGCAATGCAAATGATGGTCTGGTTATATACATGTATATCAGTAATTAATCAATTGTCAACATTAATGTATAGCTTTCCAGTAAAGGTCAATCGCACATTGCTCATTGCGGAGAGGGCACTATTAGTAGCTAGGACTTGACAAAAGAATTATTCAAACATACGTAATTACATATATTAATTATGCATAAAAATATGCAAACACAATCAATTAAAATAAACTATGTTATAGGGCCAGTTTCTTTTGGGTCTTTAGAGTACAGCGTATAGTTTTACGTATATGTACCGCATACCCAATAGGTAAATACATAGTGTAGATATCAGATGGTACGAATATTCTTTTAAGTAACGGATCACGCCATCAAAGCGATTGCTTACGAGCTCAGACATTGCAGAGATTTACAATACTTATATACAGACCTAGCTACATCATTGTAGAGATAGTTACACAACTTGTAGATGTAATATTCAAGCTATAGCTATCTAAATACGAGCTTTATCCAATAAATGCTAAACTGCGCTTTTTAAACCGAATTATGCAAGTATTGTTGCTAACATATAGTAAGATCTGTAATAATTATGCATATCGCTTTGCTAACCTTGGACATGATGAACCGGTCACTGGATGGATCTCTAGGAAAAGAGACTGTAAAAGAAACATTAGAAAATTAATCCCAAATCCTGAGATCGATATACGAGTTTAATCATTCCTTTATTGTTTTCGTATAATGTAAAAACAGTATCTCATAAAATATTTGCCAAGGAACAAGACAAGTAATGTATGTTATAAATTTTGGTAGCAGCGCTCATACGTAGACCGAACTATTCACTCCATTGATCAGTAATTAGCTTGCAGACGAAATGATCGTCCACATAGATTACTATAGCTATAGTTTTCGATCTGCAATATCTACAATTTACTAATGAGCGCTGCATAAACTTGTACTCATCTATATATCGTGATCGGTAAATTTTTGAAATTGCTAATGACCATGGTGTGTGCAGTACAGCACGTATACTGCGTGTGATGTATTTCGATATCCTTCATCAACAGAAGGAATTAAAAGTGTGTGTATAATATATATATATAGCCGTAGCTGCACAATGAAGGGAGGTTAATGTAGACCTAAAACGATTGATCATATCCATGCAAAGTGTAAGGATTTTATCATTTGATATACTACCTAGAGAAGTATTATTAAAGTTGTATCTTCTATGATTAATTACATATAATATAGCCAAGCAGTGATTAGTATAAATTCAGTCGATGAAAAAAAGGCTAAAAGAATGTTTTGGTATTTTTCAAATAGTGTATATGTCGTTTACCGTATAGATAATTATAATCGGTCATTTTGCAAAAATGACCTGTGTACTGTCAGTATGTTTTTGTAACTAGTACTGCAGCGTATGCATGCTTATGCAGAAAAACCTACTTACCTTTGTATCTCATGGTATTAAAAAAGAGGACAGACATGATTTCAGCAGCAGAGCAGCATGAAGTTGGATGACTGTTAACAATACATACAAAAAAAAAGTTCAATTTTCTCTCTATTATTAATGAGGTGAAAGAAAGGAGCTGCAACTGTTGGCCTAACAACAAGGAAAACGAAAGGCCTAAAAAGATGGCTGGCAATGCTTTGCACAAAACCATATCGATGCGTCTATCCCATAGCTACACTCTACGTATAAAGACTCACCCTGAATTGCTAGCATTAGTGCATTTTATGCTCAAAATACGCAGCTTATTGGCTGCATCTTTAAGCGCTTGGATACGCTTTTGATCCGGTCGGTGATAGGAATTGGCCATTTTGGTCGACGATGATGACGAGGTAACTTTTCGAAACAGTCAAAAGTTGGAAAGGGGGCGAAAATACGAATGCAGTGATACTTATAGTCTACAATACGCTCAGCGTACTGTACAGTACGGTATACTGTACGGGTACACTGGGTACAGCTACCACATTGCAGGGGGAAATGTACCGTAGTCTAACCGTACCGTACCAGGCTACAGCGGTGCCACTTGAATGCATAACACATACACTAATTGACCGTCGAATTTTTTCTATACCAGCCTGTCATATTATCACTCATGTTTGCGTATCGATATCATTGAATTACCCATGACACTTTTCGATATTGAGCACTGTAGAGTACAGTACATTGTACCCAGTGTTGTGTACTGTACACTGTCAAGGTCGGCCCAGTGAAATAACATTGAAAATTTTTTTTTTTTGACTAAAGAGTACAGCAACAAGTAGCTTTGATCGACCTTAACAAGAATAGAAATAGGTAAAAGCTATCCAGAAAATGTGTTACAAAACTAGCATGCAGTAAACTAATGCAAGATCCACTTCTAACATGTGTAGACTCATGAGCTGTGAATTGTATTGACGAAAATCTACTTCTCAACGTGATAATAATACTGTACTGTGTATGCACTAAAAGTCTGGAACAATAAAAAGGTGCTTGCTTTGTCGATATGAAAGGGTGAAAAATGAGTAACAGCTTTAATGAAAATGTGTTGCAAAACTACCGTACACTGTACACGACAGTCAAATGGACTCAAACAAGCAAAGATCTGCTTCTAATAGAAGTATATACACACATGAGCCATGAATTTAACTTTACAAAAGTCCATTTTTCTCCACCTTGTTCACTAACTTCATCATTTTCCCTACAGCTGGTATACTCTAGTATGCTGATACTTGAATAATCTAGATACTCAAACATGGCCTACGTTACTGAGCAACGTACACTGTAAACACAGTACTTAGACGTGGATTGCCGTAATTGAAAGAGAAGACAATAATGTCACATCAGCTGTCATTGGGCTGACCCGCAGCAGCGACGACTGCCTATAGGCTTCTTTTGTTTTTGTTTTTTCGATAGTTGACCAATCGTATTCCTTGAACACAGCAATGTATAACGTCTGTAACGTGATAACCTCACCTCACATGACAGTATGACAGCTCAGTACCTGAGCTTCGACGTCAAACGACGTCAATGACTAAAATGATGGAGCATGCAAAGCAATATTATGACCTTTGCATTTTAATCATCCATAGATCCAATTTTTAACTACTAGTCTAACAAAATAATAACTCCCTTCAGTAACTTCTTTTCTGCTATATCTATTCATTGACTAGACACATTTATCACCCTGAAATAAATACAGCAAATAATAATAATTACGATAACAAATTAGCTTTGATTCAAATTTTTCTCAGCCCCGTAGTAGCATATATTGTATAATCAGAAAAATCCAATGCTATTGAATATCATTGCGTAATGGCATTGAAGGATCGAAAATAAAATGAATCATTCATAAACCTATCCTATGCAATCTTGGACTACTAGTCTAGCGAAAGAACCACTGCCTTGACAGATCTTTCTATTGCAATATCCATCGGTTGGCTGAACTTGTTTGTCATTATGAGAATCATAAATTATCGTGCAAAATTGCATTATACAAAACAGTAGAGAAATCCAATCCCATTCAATATCATAGGGTAATGGCATTGAAGGATCGAAAATAAAATGAATCATTCATAAACCTATCCTATGCAATCTTGGACTACTAGTCTAGCGAAAGAACCACTGCCTTGACAGATTTTTCTATTACAATATCCATCAGTTGGCTGAACTTATTTGTCATCATGAGAATAATAAATTATCGTGCAAAATTGCATTATACAAAACAGTAGAGAAATCCAATCCCATTCAATATCATAGGGTAATGGCATTGAAGGATCGAAAATAAAATGAATCATTCATAAACCTATCCTATGCAATCTTGGACTACTAGTCTAGTGAAAGAGCCACTGCCTTGACAGATTTTTCTATTACAATATCCATCAGTTGGCTGAATTTGTTTGTCATCATGAGAATCATAAATCATCGTGCAAAATTGCATTGCATAAAATAGTAGAGAAATCTAATCCCATGCAATATTATTGGATCATGATATCGAAGGATTCGATATAAAATGAACATTCATAAACCGGGACAATCTTTTATTACTCATCTAGCAAAAAATAATCACTCCCTTCAAGGACTTCTCTACTCCAATATCCATGAGTTGACTGCACTCGGTTATCATTATGAAATAAATCATAAAGCAAAATTGCACAGTATAAAACAGTGGAGAAATCCAATACTAGGTGGATATCTTTTTGATTATGACATGGAAGAATTTAAAATAAAATGGTCTTTCATAAGCCGGATCAAGTGCATTCGTTAAATACACTTGATTCTCATAAACCTATACAGTCTTTTACTAATAATGCAGCAAAATAGCTTCACTCGCGTCAGGGACTTTTCGACTACAATATCCATCAGTTGACTAGATACATTTGTCATCCTGAAATGAATACAGTAATAATACATCAAAAATAGCACAAATCATATAAGACATAATTGAGGAATTCAAAACTATTGAATACTAGTATCATTTGATTATAGCATTGAAAGATTAAAATAAAATAGACATTCATAAATCGTACAATCTTTCACCACTGTACTAGTTTAGCAAAGTGACCATTTGCTACAGGGACTTCTTTACTCCAAATATCCATCAGCGGACTAGACAGTAAGTAGACATGTTTGTTATCCTCCAATAGATAAAGTAATTAATACTACTGTAATAGCACAAATTAGACAGTAGAAGACAGCAAAGAGATTCAATACCATTGAGTACGTCATAATATTGATCACGCCATTGAAGGATTTCGATATAAAAATGGGACTCCACTACTTCATTACCATGAGTCAACTAGACTCGTTTCATCATCGTGAAATAAATTAGAATATAAAATTATAAATGCAAAGCAGTAGAGGGATCAAATGTCATCAAAGAAGATCACTTGAATATGGCATTGAAAGATTTAAAAAATAAAATGGCCATAATATATCCATAAACCTATACAATTATTTATTACCAGACGGTAAAATAACGGCTCCCTAAGGCAATCATCTAAGGCAATATTCAGCAGTTGATTACATTTGTTTATCATCGTGAAATATATTATAGCGCCATTATGCAAGACGGTAGAGGAGTCAAAATATCATTGATTAATTTCATTGCATCACGGCATTGTACAATTTGTAATAAAATGTACAATGTCTGTGCCCCACAAAGAGCCGTCATAAAGTTTAATAGAATTGTTGGTTACGCAAACGCCTGAACTTATGGATCATTAATCTTACGCATATTTACTTGTACATTCTAGAACATCAAACACAAAATCATCATCAGCTTGATAGAATTTTATTTCAGATAGAACTATCTAGAACGGTTTGTATTACCAGTATCTCATAAGTTCAGTTCATAATATTTACTTAAGTTATAATGATATCTCGAATGATTTGAGCAAGAGTGATACTAGGAATATTAACGAGGATAAAAGTATCGCAGCTATTTCAAGATCATCATTAGCAAATTTCATTAGTATAATGCGTAGCTTCGTATGTAATTTTAGCCTCTATTTCTTTCTATCAATATACATCTATCTAAGATTGATGATAATTATGATGATTAATTTGACATTACGTAATTTATGAAGGATGTCAATAATGAAAGTGATAACTTGGAATAATTTGCGATAATATGGTAATAACGGCATTTAAAATGGCATCCAAATAATCGACATAAAATAAAGCCCAAATGTAGAGGTATTATCTACAAAGTGCTGCCGATATCAACACGTAACAAAGTTCTATAGTACATCTCTCTATCTCATAGTAATATTACATTTATTCACCACAACCTATGAATATTAAAATTATTATGTAGATATCGAGATAGAATCTTGAAATTAAATTTTTTTGATTTTCCAATATCTGCAATATATCAATTTTCATTATTATCATTATCATCAATCAATATGCTTGCTACTTTCATTTCTATTGCTATCTAGCACTTTTAATTGAGTTATGATAGGCATAGGTATACTATCACATTGATGAAAACGAAAAACTAAACCCATGGTATGCTAGCGCCAACGCCTAATTGGGGAATAATCGTATCTACATGGCCTCCGCTGCCTTCTTCGGATGGTTTATCATGATAGGGTCCACTATTTTTAACATTTAGTACGGTTTGAGCACTAACAGGTTTCTCGTAGATCACAAGATCATCTAATATGTAAAACACAAGTAAGGCCATCAATATGAGCAATTAAGTTTATAGAAATCGAGATGGAATAATCATCATTAACTTCTAGATTAAATCATAAAATAATAAAAATTTTAACGCTACAATCGAACAACGAACTAATTGCTTATATTAAACTAGTAAAATTCTAATATGCAAAGGACTTCAAATTAGAAGATGTAGTTGGTTACAGTAGCAAATCCTTGAAATAAGTTACTTTATCCTATATAGAGAAGGATGAGAATAAATTATTATAGCGTGAACCGTTACCTATTTGGAAATGGGCTGGATCCTGTGTCGAACCTTCTTCTTTGCCAACTAATATAGTGTCATGTGCAGCTGTCGAAGTGGATTCAGCATAATCTAAAACAGCATCAGGAACAACCTCCACACCATTAAGGTAGACTTGGATCACTACAAAAATTAAATTCATTTGTTTCATTGTGATTTAGAGTAATTCATGTAACAGCTCATGAAATGAAAAGCTTCATTAGAGTAAATTCTGAATCTTACTTAAACTATCTCTAATTCAGCAGAATAATATGCAACTTTGTTATTCTTACCTCCTTGCCTATTCCATACCATTCCTATATGTTGCCAATTCAAGAAATCGGCAGCAAAATTGACAAAAGCTAGATAAACCTTTCCTGAATCGACAATATTAAAGTCGAAGTATTCATCAGAAATATCAGGATCGTATCGATATGCAATGGTTAATCCGTGTGTATTTAATAAGCTGGACGTTGATGATAAAAGGAACACTGTTTGATCTAGACTGTTCAGCTTAAACCAAAACATAACAGAAAGCCCATTAGTACATTGACTTGGATCTTGGATACAACGATTTGGGAAATTACCTATAAAAACAGATTCATAATTCAATCAGAGACTCGATCAAGCTTTGGTATATCTTAAGACTTTATAAAATTTAGAGTTTCTTAATTATGGCTATCATTCTAACGTAGATATAATGTTAGAGTTGCTATGAGACCTTCATGTAGCTCGATTTACTATGCGCGTAGATAGGATTCTATAGACAGTTATTTAGAGTATTTTTATAACTGGTTGATTTATTTCTATTACCAAGATTGAGGTAATATGAGCCACTAATATGCAGCGCATTCTTTCTTTGCCCTTGAACTAGTTCAATTTTATCGCCTGATCCACCGCTACCATGTTTTTCTACTACAGTAGTACCGGCCACCTTTCCACTCGGGTGAAAGCTATCAAAGTTCCAGTAATGGGGTGTATGTTCTGAATTGAATAATGACCATAATTAACCTTATGACAGGCTATATATTCTTACATATGCTACTTTTAACACTCAAAATAACTTAAGTATTTTGCGTTAGATCGTTGTTTGCGTAGGCTAAAAATGATTGCCTTAATTTATTTATTATTTGCTGATAATTTAAATGTATGGAACTGTCAATAACAAGCATTCTCATTGAAAGTAAACTACGGTACCCAATAGCAGAACAACCTATGATCGTTTTATTTTTTACTAAAATTTCTTACCATGACAATTATAGAGCAGATTAATAGAGACGATGTCAAGATAACTTAACCCTGTTGCCACACCAATAGAAGCACTATTATGAGCTTGTACCGTTTTTTGAGAATTACCAGTGAAATCGAATTCTCCGTAATGCATGACCGATTTATAATCGTATTCCAAATTCTTATGATCGATCGCGGTATGATCGTAAGAATCAAAATTGACTAACGCAGCTATAAGAAATAAATGCAAAAAACGCTTATAAGTAAATATGCTTGTTAATGCATTAATACAGCATTAATGTGGAAGTAACAAAATTGGATTATAAGAGTAATTAATGTCATAAAAGTCATAGAGATTAGTCTTTAGAATTATCATATAAGTAGAATCCTGACAAAAAGATTTATTCTGCAATAAGAATATTAATGAGTATCATTCATTTATTTGCGATACTATCCCCGACTTAACTTGGTAAAATATTTGCAGTGTTGACTTGGATATAGCTTTCGCGATCATGTCTCGAATGCATATGAAATAACCCAAGTGCATGAGCAATCTCATGTTCCGCAGAAGCTGCTGATACACAGGAAGGAGAAAGTGAAACAGGCTGGGCGCCACCAGTTCGACCGACAAATGATGAACAGCTAATGGAATGATTCATGATTAAAAAATTTTAATGGAGTTCTAAATTATCATTCTTACAACTTATTTCTACCAATATACTTATTATATTAACACTATGTTTATTACTGGCAATCAAATAAGTTATCTTAGATGCGGAAAATCGAAGATTTACCTTAAAGTTGAAGTAAATTCTAAATAGTCAACTTCCGAGTTTCGTGATTGAAATGTTAAGCAAGTATTATCTTGAAATTTCGTTATAGCGGCCTCAATAACAGACCTTGTCGACGCAGCTAGTGATAATTATAAATTGGACATAAATGACATCCCTCCCTTATCATTATCTAAATATACCTTAAATTGCTTCTATATTTATCTTTTTAAATCTAAGTTTTAGTATATATTTTATAATCATACCGACTGTTACGTCGAATGTATACGGAATGGTTGTTGGCCAAATAGCTTGTGGATCGGTTGTTGTTGATTTTCGAACTAATTCATGAAATTCGCGAGTACTAATCGTTTTCTTGAGTGTATCATTTTTCAATATCTTTAATGCTTCAGAGCTAACAATAATGTCTCCTTCGAAAAGTTTCTCAGTGATAAAGTAATCTTTAGGCAGTGGGTAATTAGCAAATATGAAAATTAGAGCAGAAAAATACATTAATTAGCTAGTTGTTTTTGTAAATCTTTATAAACATGTGATCTTTTCAGTTAGCGCATTGAAAATCATCTATTGACGTATTTCATAGTAATTCGTAAAAGAATTTCATTTCATTATTCAACGGTGTCTTCCTACCATTTATTATAACTACTTTACATCAGAATAGTAGAAAATAATTCAAAGTATTGTCATTTCATACCTGCATTACTGGCAATAATTTTATTCATAGTTCCATTTACAGCAATTTCATTTGTATTCATTGACCTTCCTTGCTTATTAGAAGCATGATTTTTCAACTTATTCTTCAACTTCTTTTGCTTTCGTTGTTTCTTCCACTTTCTTAATTGCCTATAATAGTATTTTTTTAACTTTCTGCGTAGCTTCCGTTTTTTTTGATACGAGTCCAACGGGAAAAATGTAACATTGCAGCTGACCATTTCCTGTATCATGTCCTTCGGACTAGAAACTTTATAGATAGCAGTTAACTGTTTCGCTGTAATAGCGGAATTATCAGAGCTTATCTGACTGCCATGATGATTAGCAGGGTGAGCAAAGTTTCGACGAGCATAAATAGCATAGGTTAACATTGCTAGTATCGTTAATAGATTCAATAATAGCCGCATCTTGCCTTTATCCACAAGCGGCTCGGTCTTCACGCAAATCTTTAATCAAGAATATAACTAATTTTGATCTTACGCATTGATCTTTATACTAATAGCTCTGTCAATACAATCTTCAATCATGGATGAAGTCGATCTAAATCAGGAAGTAGACGTTTACTTAATTCAACGGATGCTAAAAAATTATTAATATCATTTACACAGCTGCAATATTATTTTTAATCCATAATCTATTCTTGCTTTTCAGGAAATGATTGATCTTACCGGTATTACTGAATGCTTAATTAATGAAGCATTCAGTATATCTACTATAAGAGGTTACAGGTCATACTACATCATTATTCTATCGTATTATGGATATATTTTTATATCGATAGATACTGTAAACTTATTTGGGTATTAACTAATCTATCTATTTTTATTGTCTAGGATCTAGCTTTTTTAATTTGATTAATAAAATTGAATATTGATGATACCTAATATTACACTAACGGTAAACAGCTGATTGTTCTCATTCATTATTCTATTAAATTTACTACCATTAAAATATAAGGACGACTTACGTACTATATCTTACTATTATAAGCGTAGATCGCAAGTTGGTACATGACTATGAAGGTAAATAGTTACTATCTAAATCATATCGAAATGATCATTGTCTAATCGTAAAACCCTTGATACTATATATTTATTCTTTGATACATAATTTTCCGCCAATTTACGGTATATTTATATTTGGATAATAACATGTTTTGACGCATTTTTATTCATGATATTCAATCATGATTTTAGAACGAAAACTATACTATTTAACTTCATAACGCAAACATAGCATCTTTTTTTTATTATAATATTATTTTGGAATCCTATCACTTATCGGTAGGTTAAATTCGTACCATCGTATGTCTTTATTGTTGGGGCAATATCATTATATGTATATCATAAGCGTGCTTTACCTGCAGTTTACTACTAATCTTTACGCACAGGATAATTTGCTTCTTTAATAAATTAATGTCTATGCGCCTTTGACGCGTGGTAAATTTAAATTGGTATAAACTGATCTCTGTGTTGTCCAGTTTTACTTTCTGTTTGCCACATCAGCTGTAGCTGTTTCATTAGTAAATTTAACAGTATCTTGTTACGACGTACTATTGCCAAACTAATATTTAGTAATTACATATCGTCTGCAGATTGCCTTTTAAAGGTCTCTGCTTTTAGAATTTTCCACGTAACAAAGATTATGTAAATCTTTATTGTTTATAAATGCGGGGAACTAAACGAAAATTATATTAATTAGTTCTAGATCCTTAGCCTTATTATTAAACTTGATAAGCGCATGGCACTGAAGGTTCTATCTAGCGCAATTATTAGCGTAATTGCACTGTTAATTATTTCAGTAAGTTCAATCACCTATAAAGTTATACTGTATCTTAAAATAGGCTATCGTATTACACGAACATGAAACATTCTGTTCTATATATTCGTTGCATATTCATGAAATATTCCGTGTTGATTTAGTGATCAAGATTAAAATTCTAAGATCAAAGAAAATTCTTTACCAAAATCGATTACTTCATTGCATCACATTCAAATTCATGAGTGAAAAATTACCCAAAATTTAAGTGCGACAGGAAACTTACTAACAGTTAGTAAGATTATTTAGTAAGGTATTATTGCAGATGCACAACATAAGAATAAGCGTAATAAGGTACGATGATACGCTGCATGCTTCACATAAGTAATAATATAAGAATGCACGCTATTGATATTTTAACTTGTATTTTTAATGCTTGAATTTAAACCGGTAATTTTCATCTCATGAACGTCAGAAATTAACCTTCGTTTTTAATATTCGCAAACGTAATCAGTCATCCGTTGATTGCAAACTTGTAATCTGGTATCATGTACAGGAGTTTATTCCAACTTGGCATCTTTTTTATATAATATGCTTGTATTAAGATGATATAGTGTTGATGAGTAATTTCTCTAACGATAAATTAAAATGATTCATTCGTGCAAAACTCAGATAACAAAATTCAATCTTGAGTTTATTTAGGAACGCACAGCCGAGTGTTATCTAATTACATATATGTGACTCATTATTTCTATTATCACGGTGTCAATATAGTAGCAAGTGCGTTTTAATCAAATAATAGTTTCATATCCCATTTTCATGGTGTGATGCTATTTTACGACAAAATAAATTAATGTTTTCTTCCGCATAGATTTATTAGGGAAGCAAGAAACGGAAGAACTCTTATCAAAAAATAATATAATAATTTTACAGAATAATTCTTAAACGAAATATAAATTATGATCAGTTCTATTATCATTTTAAAACAAATTCGTCAAATTCAGATCAATGGATTACGCATTTACCATAACATAAATTACTATACATAAATTATTCTGGAGATTTTGAATATCTGATCTTCAGAATAATACTGTCTTGAAATCTGAAAAAACTGCAAATTCCAATAATTTTATCATCAATGAGTATGACTTTCGTTGATAATTCCATTGACGAAAATATGAAATAGCATATGAAGCCATTATTGATTAATACTAAATTGTTATCTCGTTCTAAAGATAAGACTTGAAATCAGCATACTGAATCTGATAAAACTTTTCTTTCCTTGTATAAATTGAAATAGCCATGGCTAATAAAAATGTGATCTATCTCATTGTAAATGGTCAATTAGTATATCACGGAAATAATTAATAAACATTATATGAAAGGCATGGTATTGTTCAGTTATAAATTCTAATTATTAAAAAGTTCTACGACAGGTATTTATCAAAAATGTGAGATCAAATAATGCAGTAATTACACACTTAAATCGTCAACACTTTGTCGTCGTTGGATTAGCACATATCTGTATAAATTGTATACTGTCATTCAGTATAGGATTTTAGATATTTTATTCGTCTATTGTTGACGCATAGCTATCAAATTCTTACTTTTAAATACAGGCTTGAGTAATACGTACCTTACATAATTCTTTAACAATATGTAACATAGAAGAGTGAAATACAGTGGTATTATAACATTATGATTGCTTCCTAGAAATTTACATATTTACATATGGAATAATAGAAAGTTGATGAAGTGTCTAACTATTCAATCGATAGTTATAACTGATATTAAGGAATCAACTGAATTGACTTTAGAATAAATGAAAATGAATAGAAATAGATAAAAATGGAAGAAATAAATTTTGTTGAATAACATTTCTCAAGACAATAATTAGTATATCTTAATTACTAATTTATCAATTGTAATCACAAATTAAAGCATTATCATAGCGCTGTTTTAATTATTTATTAAAGATCAACATAATGTTTTCTTGGATAAGAATATTTAAATAAGTATTATAGAAGATTCTAACAATTCCTATTCGCTTAGCCCAGCACATTAGCAGTTTTTCGCTGGACCATTGGAATTATGTAATTAATTCATTGTTATAAATTAATTAAAATTATATGGACATGAAAATCTTTTTCGTACTCCTAGCACATAATCATCTGGTAATATTGCAAGTTTATCATTTATAAAGTCAAAATCGCTAAACAATGTCTATAAACGAGATTATAATTAGATGGATCATTAAAACGTCTTTTGCAGCATTGCTCTATCGGTTCAATATATTATAGTTTATGTATAATGAAGATAATGGTGTATACGTATGTAGTACATGATGAAGTCTTTAAATCAATAATTAATTTTGTTTATGATTTCATAGACGTCAAATAATAACGTATAAATTTTCCATATTTTGTAACAGAATGCATAATCCCATTTTGCGTTGAATAGATTGATATTATAGGTACATTATATACCTCTTATATAATTTAGTATCTGTTACGATGGAATATTATATCACTATTACAATTTTTACGACTGATAATATAGCAAGAAATTGCTACATTATACGAACTCGTACAATGCTAAGATAACAATACAGTTAGTTAAACTGCTATTTAAGTATAGTAAACCTTGTAAGGCTATATATATGATGAAAATGTGGAAAAAATTCAATTTTGTTAATGTTGCTGTTATATTCATAGAACGTTAGCTACAATTAATCTCAGAAAAAACAGTACATTAAGTTAAGAATAGCTTTATTAAATAATGTGGTGTTTATTAAAATTCCAAATGTATACTAGTATTTTGACGTGGATAAATACTTTTAGCCGAAAATTGAATGTATAGTTAGTTCATGTATGTCTTATTTTATAAAATGATCATTTACTTCATTACATGAAATACTTTTAGCAGGATAAATTGTACTATTTAATTAATAAACTCTCACTAGACAGGTAATCAAATTTCAAAATTTTGATATTTCTTTCTTTCTAACTGTTATGAAATGCTAATACTAAAATGTAAATATCTAGTTCTGATGTTATATAAATTTTGTTTATTAGTACTTGATAAAGCTCAACTACGTTAGCAAATACAGTCTATCAATATGTGAAAAGGTGAAGTAAATTTTATTTTTGATTATTGATGGCAATACTCAATTAAGGTAATACCGGTAAATGTTCACTATCAACATTAGAAGAGGCAAATTCTTCATTAAAGTGATATTATACTTCGCCAGACTTGATTAATGCTGTCAATTCTTAGATTACATTTGCTACTTTACCTGATCAATAATTACGTTATTAGTAACTGTAGTAATCCACAATACATTTCTGTATAATCATGGCAACTATAATACCCATTAGTATATTGAAAATAACTATTCTTTAGTCTATTGGAAATTCATGCAATATCGAAACAGTCAGAAATCTGGATAGCTAGTTTTCAATTATTTATAGAATTATCTATTTTCTATCACACTTTATTATTAAAAATGTAATCCTTTCCGCAATAAGCATTTGCTATAATTGATACAATTGAAATTATAGTTTATCATCATCATCTTTAGTAAGTTAGTAGCCACATAGCTGTAATTATTATCGTTAATATTTTATTGTCATGTGGGTTAAGATACGGAAGATTATAACAGCTCAATATTTGAGAATTCGATACTTTGACAGCTGACAATGAAATAGAATTACAATATAGGCTACGGATAGTGAGATCAGCCAATTCAAGTATCGGAGCGTAGGTTAAATCGGAAACTGGTAAGGACCTCGTGCAATGAGTACCGTTTTCTCATTTTGTTGGCTATCTTATTTGTTGGCAGTTATTGGTGAAAGGTATGCTAAATGCAGTATATCTTACACTGCAATCTAAATATTAGGGTGATTGTGTGATAGTAGTAAATTTCTTTACATATAACTATTTATAGTACCGCCAATAGATTATGGACCCCATAAAGTAAAGCTATTTCTATATCTAAAGTCGGGCAGGTACAGTTAGTTTCCTATGGAAGCTTCTTTATTATTCTTTATGATTAGATTAGAGTAAATAGAAATAGACATTTGTTCGTTCAGTAATTAGTGTTAACATTTACTTGCTAAGCTAGTAGATCATCAAGAAATGGTATTTCCTGCCCTTCAAACAGATATAACGATGGTTTTACAATATGTAGATAGATACGGTACTACTGTAGTTAGTAGGGTATAATCTTCCTAAGCAATTGCTAAAGTAATGCGGCGCTATTTGTGATTTTCCATATTTCGATAATATGAATATAATAATTTGCTAGTATTTGAATGACAAGTAGCGTCACTATACTTAATTTAAGCCAAAAATACCAACCCATAGTTTACGTTACATACAGACAAATGGTTATTATTTCGACTTTTTAGCATATCTTCTGTTATTCTTTACTGTCTTAATTCGATGCAAATAGATGTTTGATTGGATTTTATCTATGGTCAATAGTTGCTAAAAATATAATTCGTATATTCCGTTCAGGTTATTAGCAGTTACGATTCCAAACATATCGATATCAAACATGATTCCAGTTGTAGTTTATTTGCTGCTAAAGCGATGCCGCTTCCATGTTTTTATCTTTTATATTTCGGTGATTCCAATATGATAATTTACTGACTTACTTGAATATACGCATAAAAAGAACTTGTTTAGCTTTTAAAATAACGAAATTTAGAACGATATCTTACCATATATAATTGTTTACTATTCCAGCCAATGACGTTAGATTTAAGAATAATTCACTTATTATAATCTAAGATCTGAGATATACTCAATATATTTCGGTAACACAAATATAATAGCTTACTGTTATTGATAGCGAGATAATTTACTTAACACTTAAAAGAGAAATAAGTCTATTAATAAATTGCCTAACATTGTTAACGTATTAGCGATGATATTTTTGCGGTATTCCATATTAATGGTTTACAATCGCAATTTGATGAAATTAGACATAATGTTAGATGTCATTTATGGCTAGTTGCTATCTGAACGTGGATCAAATAAATGTTTGCTATCACAGTTTAATGAAATTAAATCATAGATTCCGAGAAGAAATTGTTCGTTCTACTATGAGCTAGATATAAAGTTGGACATCCTTTACGATTATTCGTTACGAAAACAACACAACTCCGATATTTTACTCCCTCTATCTCCATAATGGCAAGACAATAATTCAAATTCTATCTATGAAAGTTAATTTACTTATTATGAAAATGAAATTAGTTAACCTTTAATTTGGGTTCTATGTACAAAATATTGAAATCTAGAAATAATGTTTCTTATAATACCTTGAATCACTATTTACAGTATTGCTTGATACAGGTCAATAGACCAGGTAAAATCTCATGGATAGATTGTAGTTGCCATTAATTAACTTTAAAATGGTATTTTGTTATTTAGATCTGAATATAGTAGATGTAAATAAATTAATCAAGAGTAAAAGCCTAAAAACCGAGATATTATTTCTGTTTCAATTTTAATTCTATTGTTGTTGATGTAAACAGCTCATAATTGATAAATTATAAAGAATCGAACAAAATAAGTATTGATTGTCTTTTTTTATGCTTACACCTGAATGGGAAATAGCAAAAATAACAATGGCTATAAATATTAATAATGATTTACAAACAACATTTTCTAATACTATCAAGTTTAATTTAAACCCATCATGTCTACATAGTGAACGGTAATAGAGGCCTTCGTTAAAATAACAGTTGGATTTCATATTTAACTTTTCTACTGTAACAAAGTAAAAAGTTGGAGGGGAAGACAAGACATACTAACTGAAAAGGTTACAGTTACAAAACGCAATAGGAAATGGAATATTTTCTATTACTCGTCAATTATTCTTCCCTTCCTTTTAATCGAGGAAGTGATGTCGTTAAAGTAAAGAGGTAATCCAGTACAGGATATAATCTAGATTGGAACCAATTACCTAGAAATCGGTATTTCCTATGTTATTTATATTTTAAAGTAAAAATAGTCGCAAATAGTCTTAATCTTTATTCTATGCTCTTATAGATTTGATTAATAGTCAATAGTAATTTTCATCAATCATGATTACCGGCTTGGAATAAAGACATTGGCTAAATTTTGAATAAAATTCATTATAATCGTTTCCTTTTCAAGAAAAGCTAATAACAAAGCTTTTAATAGAATTTTTAATTTTTACCATGGCGACAGATAATTATTGTCTATCCTACAGTATTTTAAATTTTTAAGCCTTGTACGATTTCAATTTAAATAAGGTAACGCGATCATGTCGTATTAGCACCGCATCAAGACCGATCTTTCTTCTTCCCAATCCAAAAATTCGCTCCAATGTCAATTTAGTGTGAAGGTGGATTATGAACCGAAACTCGAAAATAATATTTTGTTAGGTAACCTTTAAATAGGCTAGCACGAGTTTTAATAGCATAGGTGTAATTTAAAATTGGCAAATGGACATTTGTAAAGAAGTAATATCCATTACTACTTCACCACAACAGTATATAGTAATGCGGTATCCATTTCTTGCATAAAATGGTACAATTTTATTCTGATTCCATTCATATCAATATAGAGGTAGTTTTTACAATTCAATAATTGTTACTCAGTTAACTTATTTTTTAAGCAATATCGATGAATAATGGTTTAATTAATTATTAATTATAGTTTTATACGCTATATAGATAGCATTAATCAATCTTATAACGGACTAATTATGTTTCTAGCCCAACAATCTAATGAAAGCAAATGTCTGATTCTATTCTCCAAGATCAATTCAATTTACTGTAAGCTTTTTATTGATTAATGGTATAGTTTTATTTTTCTTCTTACATATGTTGTATTACTTTAACTAGACTAATAGACTAGCCATTAATTAATTACAGTAAAAAGCAATGCAGGAAGTCCACCTGTGATGATCGTTATGCTATAGTACATTCAATTTAGCTTTAAATTTTTACTTTTTACCGATTGTTAAAATCGCTATCTGGTGATCCAATCCTTATGGTTTATAAATTTGCAATAAAACTGGTAAGAAACTTTACAAGTTTTCATCCTGCCATTTGATACAAGATGACTTTTATCACGGTTAAGTTCGGAGGTAAATTGAAACGGTATCATTTAAGATGTAAAGGAACTGTACTCAGTAAAAGTGTATATCAAATTTAGCTTTTCTAATTTACTTTCTCGAAGTAAAATTGTCAGAAATCAATTATGTTTGGCTATGATCTACTCTAATCTCATTTGCTAACCTCTTTGGCTCGTGTTACAATACCCTAGAATGATTATATTCCTGTTTTATTTCTAATTCTCAGTAATTTTCTTCTTTTCTGTTCTAAAATCGTTATGTTGTTAGACAATAAAAGCGAAATTTTTAATCCAAACTGTCGAAATACTAGCTTGATAGACAATATCAAAGAAAGATGTGACTGTGAGAAAGATGGTAAATGGTTATAATTCTGTTTTGTTATTAAAAGTGGTTATTTTTAGGTCTTGATTGCCCTTTCTTTAAGTTTTCTCTCTGGATTTAGTTAAAAAAGTTTTATTTCCGTGTTAGTCAATTTATTTATTTATAATATTACAGTATATTAACTTAATTCTGCCCTCCTTGTGTTATGAGCGTTTGAGGTTCCTTGTATGTTCTTTCTCAATTATATATAGGTCCATCTGTAATTTAATAACTTAGTCACGACAGGATATTGAAATATCTAGACTTTCTTTCATAAGTATTAGTCTTTCCGACGTCTTTATATAGACATTATCATGCTACATCAAATACTTTTCTGTTAATAGTATTTCCTTATGCCTATCTTAGTATAGTCTATACATGTCTTGAGTGTTTAATTGTTGAATCTAACTATTTCTACAAGAGCTTGATGGTTATTACTTTAGATTACTTTCAGCATCACAAGTTAGACGTATAAACTTTTAGCGTTACAAAATAATGAACTTCTCATCCATTTTCTATATTGCAATTATTCATTTAATGACATAGGACAGACTGGTCATGCTCCATTCTCATTTTTCTTTATTTCTATTATAATTGAACTATAAATTGAATAATATTTTTTGATGTTTACACAGACTGGATTAGTTTATCCGATGAGCGAGGTATCTTAAAGAAGATACACCTGAATTTACTTGATTATGCTAGCAATTATCTTGAACCACGAGGAGTTTTTATCCTAATTAAGATTGAAAAAGGTAAGATGAAATAATCGAGTAACTATATATTATTATAAGTGAGATAGGAAGCTATAGTTATATTTTGGACCTGATTCAATCAATATTGTATCGGAAAGTCTAATTAAGTTGTATAATTGAGAATATTTGTTTTCACCTGAACAGTTAGTTCTGTAGCTACATCTTATCGTATTAAATGTATACAATCACGGGTCTTATTCAAGATTTCATAGTAGAATGGTTCCCAATATTTGCAGATGTGACATCGCTTATCGTTAAAAAGTATCTCAAAATGTTATAATAAGAACTTCATCATTTTATAAACTCTACTTCATTATATAAATTGGTTTATCTATCTAATTATCAATAACAGTATTGCAGTAAAGTAGCTACATTGCGAATATCCTCCGCAGATAGATATTTACACAATCTTGTAATTTAACGTAAAGGATGAACTATTCTTGCACAATCTCTTAGCTTTTATCACAAGTTATTTTTGAAACTGCATTATACTGTACTTCTACTTAAGATATTTGATTCTTATTGAGAATAATAAAAGGTGTAGTCATATCTTCAAGATTGCATCATAGATATAGAGGTACACTACGGTAGCAAATGAATTGAGACTGTTGGCAAGGCAGATTTTAACATTGTGGATAAGATAAGATATTCTTTTATTTAAGTTTCACTGTTGTACCTCATAATACAGTATTGAAAGGCGTGATTATTCGTTAGATTGGAATGCAGTAGATGAGATAATATTCTTATTTCAGAATTTTAAGTGATGCCCTTCTAAAACATTAGCAGGCAACATTATTTTTATGGATACATGATAGGGTAGATTCAATGGTTACAGTCGACATATCACATGATATGCTTGAATATTTTAATTATATAATATCGGAAGAGATAATTACTATATCTATGGTGGCATAGCACAGTAATTTAGACACTACTACTGTGATATAAGACTCGTGCATTGTTTGCGGATTGCTAAATTTCATGCTATTTCTTAGTAAGTATTATTAATTACTTAGATTACACTGTAGAGTGTAATTTCAAGGCTACAAGGGATATTTTCAATTGAAATTTAGTCGTGTTATTTTAATCTTTTGATAACTTCAAAGTATTTTAAACGTATAAATTATTTAACTAGAATGGGATGAAGGAGTAGATATGAATACCAGAGATGATATCGTCTGCTTAACTCTTCAAGCTATACAGTAAAATGTTAAACAATTATTTTAAAGAAACTATTTTAACGGTCTGATTCTACCGTAATATTGATTGCCATCTGTTATAGTTCAAGATGCTCCATCCTAGTATTTCAGAATGAATTCCTTGGTACTCGATTACGATTTGTTTCTATTCATTCTTAGATGAGAATAGCAATGACCACGAACTTACTTATACGCCATTATTGGATAGCCTTGAACAAGATCAAAAATTTTTAGGTATTAATATGGTATTTAATTTTTCTTTTTGGTTTAGAATTTCATTACCTATAAACAGTTTATTACGTTATCAAGGCCCTAGTATAATTAGCAACCCCTATTATTAATTATGTAATTAAAAATTCTTTCATGAGTTTTAAGTAAGACAGGTAATAAACTCGTTTAGTTTAGCCATTAGCAAATTGCCGATGTCACAATTTGACAGAGGGATGAAAGCTATTTGAATTTGAGATAAGTTTAGATGAAATTAAAGTTATTATGGAGTTTATTATTCTTCACGTATCTATCTTATTTTAAAACTTTTCTATAAAATAATTACGGTGAGATCTCTTGCACTTTATGGCAACAATTTAGTAAATTTAATGCCTTTCCCAGATGTAGCGGCTCCTTTTTAAAATCTAATATAGTACATTATACACGATGAAGAATTTAATATCTTGAAATAGGGAATCGATGAAAATCCTTGATTTTCAGTATGCTTATTGGAGAGTTAGATAGAGACTACTCATTACTTTCACAGATAGATGCTTACGGTTCTAGTGACTAGGTGATAGTAAGTCAGATAGCAAGCGAGCCATGTCAAAAGTTTGTAAAAGCATAAAATTGCTATTTCTAAGAATATCCATATTCTTTGTCTTTTATTATCAGCTCGATTGCGACCGAAACCAAAATCTCCATCAACTAATAGTCCAGCCAAAGATAAAAAATACGATTTAAAGAGGCGAAGAAGTACTCGTGTAATCGTCACTAATAGTAAACCTCGCACTCCTACCACTGGCAAAGGACGTCAGTCGAGGGTACAAAACTATAGTCTATCGCCAAATAAAGGAGCAAAAAAGGGCAAGTAATCTTTGTTAACGGTTTTATTTTGGCGTGATGTACTTGTTGAAGGAATCATAAATTAGATGAATTAATGGCATCATGTATGATATTGTAATGCATGATAACTGTGCTACAGATCTGATATCAGATTTATCGTTATTTGGTCCTTGTGTTCTATTGTGAAGTGAGGAAATGGTTATTCCAACCAAATATTAATGCTGAAATCTAAAATATTATTATTAATTAATTTTTCAATGCTACGCTAGAGGTGTAATCGTATGATCGTGATTTAATTGTAACGCTTATTATTTCTCAGGATACAAAATACATAGTACAGTTAATGAAGTAAGATCGAATTAGCGGTATCTTAGATCAATATTGACAGTATTTATGTTACTCTACATAAGACAAGAAAACGATACATTATGTCGTTATGCCGTATTCCGAGATTAACCATATGAGTGTGATACAAAAATAGATTTTACATTTTAGTTTCTAACACCGGCTTATATAAATGCCACAGGCACATAAGTTTTATTCAAATATTTTGTAAAAATTTACGCACTTTTTGGCAGGTACAACATAAAAAGCATTTTTAAAATCTGTTCTACTGGAAGTTTTAAAGCTACAATTTAAACGATTGGATAAATAGTAACAAACATTTGATAACTTGATTAGTAGCTTAAAACTAAGTACATGTGTTCTAAAATTAATCTTGTTTCATCATCAGCGGGAGCTTTAGGCTATTATTGCATAAATTATTCAAAAATATGCATGCAAAATAAAATATTAAAAAATGTAACGCTCAACATTTCTTCAACTGGGAGAAACAAATTACTGCAAATTTGATGCTTAACTATATACTGTAGTAATATCGAATAGTCAGATCTAATGTTTCTTTAGGATATTTAAATTTCTTATAGATTTATAGCTATCATTGATGTTGTACAGGAATATAATATCGTAATATTGCTGCAGTTTCTAACTGTAGTAGGTAACAGTGAAAATCTTTCAAAAACGGAAAATTATGTTGGGTTTTGAATTGAGTTAACCGATACCCGAAAATTGATTTTTCGCTGAAAATACGGTCGTAGAATCCAAAATCACATTGGATACGCCAAACAGCAGTCGACACAATTTGCATTAGAACTTTAAGATATATAGTGGTTATAAATGCTGTAAGATCCCTACCGTATTTTGAAAAATTTTAAGACAATTTTTTGTTTTCATGATATGGTTGATTTATTGTTCATAAAGGGCCGTAGAACTTCAGGAATTTTAATACTACCGTCCTGTAAGATACACGGAAATTGAGGAACTTAATGATTTTACTGATTATGACGCGAAAAAGGTGTTGACTTGCATAAAGTATCTTTCAAATCAAAATCGATCATATTTCGTATATGCATGACTACAATCAAGGAGGTTTTAGATCGTGTAATTTTATTGCTTTACTATTTAAATTTCGTTATAACCTGCTGTTGAAAATTCTCTAGAATGCTGATAATCAGTCTTGGAATAGCACATGCAGTAGCATTAACCTAAATGTTATACGAGTTGAAAAATGAACGCTTTAAACACAAAATTGTAATCGTACTTTATAAATATCAAAACTTTCTTAAAATTTATATTTACCAAAGTGGTATTTAGTGAATAACATACCGTATGGACAAACTGACGACCTCTATGCTTAGCTTTAGAACCTTTATATTGGATGTTTAGGCGTCTACTTTGATAATCTGTGCAGTTAGAGGCACTAGATATCTGCACAATAGTAAGATTATGATCGTAAATTATTTTGTCTATGAGTAAATAAAACAGACTAGTGGGATTCTAAATAATAAACAGTTATGAAAAGATAAGTTAAAATATATTCATTCCGCTATATAATTATCCTTACTTCACCATAATTATTTCTGCCTGGCATCCAAGCTTCAATATCGAATTTTCTATAGGCTGAGCTGCTAAGTTCTGCCGTAGGCATGTCTAAAATTCTGATATAAGTAAGCCAAAAGAATGCATATAATATATATTTTATGTTTGCCGAATTTAGAGTTGTCTATGATTTACCTAGCATGTAAGCCTAAGTTCGAATAAAGATCTTTTTGTATCTCCACAAACTCATTAAACAACGCGTCGCTTTCATTGTGACCTTCATTAGTAGTTATACCAAACATTTCCACCTGTCGTGTAATGTTATAAGTTAGTGAGTGATAGATTCGTGTAAGTGCAAATTACGGGTAGTAGAACTATATTGTATTAGTAACATAATGATGTACTTTTGTAAATTGATGTAAACGATACAAGCCGCGCTCTTCGGAAGTGTGTCTCGCTTTAGTAAAGAATGATAACAGTATCGTTAATATTAAGTTAATTTTTACTAAAAGCAATAGATTTTATCACTAGATATATACTATAATATACCAGCTTCAGCGCGAAAGCAGTGGCTAACGGCTACATATCTGCAATGCAAAGTGCACGCCTTAATTACTAATTAATTAAAGTTTGGGTAAGTTACCAGTATGCTTGAAAACAATGATATATTTACTCTTTTGTCACTATGTGCTATATATCTGTATATTTGTGCAGTGTATGGAATATACTTATTTCTAACCTTAAAGGGAGATCTTTCGCGTCTAACATTGAATCCATAAACATTCCTAAAAATGCAAAGTGCTTACTTATAAAATCAATGTTCCAATGAATATTTTTATACTTACCGCATAAAGGGATTTCTGAAGTTCCAGCGAGGCGTAATTCACCGTGGCTGGGATCAAGGCTATATATCTTTTCATATTAAATAAAATTGTAACTACAACGTGGGATTTTTATTTGATACGCATGTATGAGGCTAATGAACACGGTTTTTACTTTCGTAGCTTTTCAATACCTGAGCATGTTCAGTTCTTGGATGATATCCACATCCTTCCTAAATTGACATATAGTATGAAAGAGAATCTTTCATTATAGTTAAATACTATGCGGTTGCGCATAAAGTTTTATAAGTAAAATTGACGTTAACTTACTATAAGCCTAGGTTTGACGATATCTGGAGGCAGAATTGTAGTAAAACCCTAGAATGAAGAGAAGTCAAATGATAAAGTATTTCACTTGTGAAACTTTAGTAGGAGCGCACTGAAGTTATATGAGGCAGTAGCCATCTAAGAATACCTTCTGTGTAAGCTTTTGGATTGCGTACTGAATAATTGCCAACTCCAATAGAGCGGCATCTCCTAATAAATAGCAAAATTTCGGATCGCTCTGAAGTGCTGCAGATCTAAATTCGATATTAATAGTAGTTAGCTGCTTATAATAGACGATCTATTTGATAGTAAGTCAATCGAATTTTGAAAAATGGTAGACAAGTTACGAGTTAATTAAGCTATTGCATATACCGAAATAAATTCAATTTTTCGCCAATTTGTATATGATTTTTCAAATCCAAGTCAAATACTAAAATGATGAATGGGATAATTGTGCAGTGTTATTACATCATTCGTTTTTATAAGTTTACCTGATTGATTGAAATAAATAATCTGGAGAGATATACTAATCAATCGTAACTTGCATTACAGACCAGGTTTATCTCCAAAAGTGCTTAAAATGGTTGCATTTTCTTCGTCTCCAATTGGCTTTAGCAAGAGAAAATGAAGTTCTACATGAGACTGTCACAAAAATTGATATTCAGACATTATTTTACCGTATCTGGGTGAGTATCATTCGGAATTTTCGACGCAGCTTCAAACAACTGATTTTCGTAATGTAATTTTGTATCCTGTGATGCCATAGATTTCAATTTTAGTATTAGAAATTTAAAACTTTACACCATTATTTTAGAGCGCGATAGTGATGTACAGTACAACTTAGGATATGTCTAATTCGACCTGTATATATACTGTGCAATGATGCTTATTTTAAGGTATTAATCAATGAATTAAAAGCGATATGGTGTTTTACTTCCCTACCTCCAGTTGTGGCATTTTCTCTTTTATTTTCTTACCTAAATCGACAAGTTTTACATAGTCATCCTCACCTTTTTTGACCTATTAAAAAACAGGGCTAGTTAAGTATTGCTTTATCTGCACCACCTCGTGTTTTGTAGAGATTATCTATTTTATTGGTTAACTATTCACCTCTTGTAGCTTAATTTTCTTTGATATTTCATTTCTCTCATGTCGTAATGCAGAAATTTCTGTACATATTTTGCCAAATTTGTTATGCAATTTTACCTGATAACATAGATGGATATTTAACTGTCTTAATTTTTGAAAAGTTATAATATACTCGTACTGACGTTATAATATGTTGATTAGGGACTAATTTAGGGTAATCTTTAATTTTCTTAGTTGTGGCATATACTTGTATTTTTACGTCTGCTGCAGTCAGTCATGGCAAGGAAATAGACGTGAACTAGATGGAATTTTGACTCCAAAAAAGAGTCAATTTTCATTGACACTCTATAGTCTGTACTATTCTGTAAGATGAGCAAAAATGCTTGCGACAAATGAAATCTTTAACTTTAGTGTGCTCAATTTCATTCATACAGCTATAGTCTATAAAGCATAAACTGTAACGAACTTTGCATGGACTGTCCGCGCGTAATCTTAGTTGTTGAAAGCTTTATCTGAGAGTACAGTAATAATGGTACTTGATAATTCTGAAAATGATTTCATTCTACAGTATTTTAGTCTACAGTTTGCTATGAACATTAACTTTATCAAATTGATGATATTGGTATTGAGCGGAAGTGATTGCATGTAATACTGTACAGTATATAGCAATCTTCGTTTAGCAACTATCCAAGATCTGCTAATATGCATAAGCCAATCAGTAGTTTCTCAGCCTTTTATAGCCTATTCAACTCTTTTCTTACCACTTCGTCAATGTCAGCATCACAACATCGATTCTTAATATTTTCACGTATAATATCAGTTTTTTTTCGATAATAATCGAAATCAAATATGGGTCTATAGCCAATGCCATCTTTTCGAAATAAATATGAAGAGAGAGCCTTGCAATGGATTCGGCAAGAGCTCGGTGTGATCCACCTCCGGCGCACTGCTTTCATCATGGCGTTGATGGTTAATTTTTAATCTACCTTAAACTTAATATTGGATGGGAAAATTTTATAATCTACTATAATATAACCTAATGGTAGCACAGGATAAGAGTTTTAATGAATTAATTGCATCAAGTCAATTCTTTTAGCCGTCGTAGATTGCAATAATTTTCTCAGCTTATAATTCAGATGCTCTAGTCTCTCTCGATTTCATTCATTGCAGCTAACGTGGAGCGGATTGCAGACTTTTTAACAGGGAGCCTCGCGGTACGGACTGTGCACTGTACTATACAGTACAGTACCGTACGATTAGTTTTACTGTACGTCTGTACATCTTGTCCGTATAGTATGGTACTGTACTGTAGTGTTACATGTTATACTGTAGTAACTGTACTGTACTGTACTGTACAGTGTACAGTGTACAAGATGAGACACATTGTACTGTACTGTACACTGTATTGTACTGTAGGCCATCGAGGTCGCTATGATACATGTATGAGACTTCTGAATCGAATCACTCAACATTCCAACGACTTTTTTAGCCGTGGCAGTTCATTTCTCAAAGTTCCCACGTACTGTTTACATTGGAAAATTAAGTTATTCGAAAATAAATCTTAATTTGGATCAATAAGCGATTGGAATAAGCATCTTTCTAGAGTTCTCGACGATGTCATGGTGGTGATTATCAAATTTCTAAGATGATTAAGCGCCAATCGGGTAAAATGAAATGATGGTATTTCAATAATGCTTTAAATCAGTCAATTAACATGGACTAGTAAGAAGACAGTAAAATAATGATCACCTAAACCTGTTTATCCATGCTCAATGAACAGGAATGGTTTACTATCATTGCTAATATTAGTTTTCTCTGTACTATATACTGTCATCAATTTGGATGGTATTGAAATAGAAGTAATCATTGAAATAAAGTAGTCATACAATAACAGAATATATTACATGATTCAATGAAAAGCGCAAAAAGGATTCAATTTTGATAGAGATAGAATAATGATTATCTTAATTTATGGAAAGTAATAATATTACAGCTTTAAAGGATAATCCATGGAAGACCGGGAAGGGTAAGAAGGAGGCACAATTGAGCTTACAACGAAGCGGTAAGGATGATCCATTCGTAATTTGAATTATTTGCCTACGCTATAATTGATAGTTTTCATAACACACCAAACAAGCTTTTACGTAATATTGTAATGATAAACGATTAACGTTAATAGGCCATATCTTGCTATTAGTTTAATTCATTCATTTTTGTATTCAGTTTAATATACCTGTGCATACAGTAGTTAATTATAATAGTACGCCAGACTATGAAAATGAGTGCTTAATTAATAGGCTCGTATTATCATGGCTTCTACTGTTAGTTTTAATGATGCGTCAGAGTATGAGAACTAATGGCTTAATATTATATACTCGTATTATAATCGTAGGTTTTATCCCCAAAACTGTTAGCACGACTGGAGGTCATGATATCGTTAGCAGCCATATGAAATCTCATTACAATCGAATTACCGGTGCTAAATGTAATTTTAAAAAATAATACTTTGCTATCCCAATTTTTCTTGTACGCTATTATTATCCTTCAAATGCACATTAAAACTTTTATTATTATCCTGTCTCGTTATCCGCTATACTAATACTGTTATCTTGCTTTAGCACGAACTGATACGTCTGCTCCAAAATCTCTTGTTGTCAATCCAAGGCGTAAGATAAATATCATTTAATCTCAATAACCATTAAAAGAGATTAATACCTTCATTTTGTTTTCGACTGTAGGCCATAGTCGTAAAGGAACCTCAACATTTGATTCTACAGGTTCCGTATATGCTGGACTGCCCCAATCTGCACGTAGCATGAAAGGACGTAGTCTACTAAATTCACGTCCTATGTCTGCTCGTACTGCGCCAGAAACAAGCACAAAGGATGTTAATAAGAGTACTACCAAGGTTGTACTTGTATTGTATGTACAATAAATATAACTAAGATTTGTATGTTATATTGCCTTTTTACAATAGATATGGATCCCTTAAAATCACTAACGTATTAAACTAAACTATAGGAACAGGGGAGCAATTATAAGCGGAAAGTGTCTCAAAAGAAATCAAAATCTGCAATAGCTGTCGATGTGAATTCTACAAATATAGCTGATACACCCGTTATGTCAAATTATAATGATCATCCTACACCTGATATGAATGAACAAGACGAAGCCGACGATGGACCTTCTAAGTAATATAACTCATAGATGATAAAATGAATAAAAATGTTTTTTATGTTACTGACTTGATATTGCTTCAATTTAATTAGAGAAAAATTGGCAGAATATTTGATCTTAAAATATGGTGTTAAATCGAGTAAGAAAGCTAAGCAACAAGAGCGTAAAGGACAACAATCGCAGCTGTTTTCAAATAGTGTACAAAAAGTCCCATCTAGGTAGAGTCATCTGTCATATTGAAACCATTTTCAGGTTTAAAATCTCACTTAGCCTGTATTACGATAAAAATCTTAGAATTACGCATGAGGTTAAGGATGATCCAAATAGAATTACGTCTACAAGATTAGGAAATTATGATTTTCAAGGCAGTAGTGTTAGAGACCCTAATAACCTAAGAAGTAATGTCGACAATTGGCTAAACGATGCGAATGCTTCCGTCATGGCAGAAGTGTAAGCTTTTCATAATTACTATTATCACAACTATTGTAAAATAATATATGGATACTTTAAAATGTACAGAAATTTAGAAATGGAATACTTGAAATTTATGTCTTCCCTCACAACCGATGTAATCTCTCGTGGAATTTTTTCTGATAGGTACAACTGAGCGTTAGCTCGTTAAGCTGATATAAATTGTTGTGTCCTTAAATTGGTATAATATTTTATTTATTTGTTGCATCCTCTTACCTACAGATATATTAATCGTATCATTGAACAGCATATTCGAGACAATAGAGCTACATTAAATGAAGTAAGTCCATATAATAATTTCTTAAGAAGTGTGCTGTACTGTAGTCAATTAAAGTTTTCAATTTATGCATACATAGGTTACAGTTGTCTACTATTACTACATTTACTGTATTCATGTCAATTTCGGATGATGAATAGATATAAGTTCAGTAATACTGAAATCCACTTGTTACTTCTCGGGTTATCAACTAGGATCACATGCGTGAATTGACAGAACAATTGAAAAGGGATCTCTGCATTCGCGATTAGGATTGTTTCCTCATAATTTAGGAACCTACTTGCGCACTTTGCGCATTACAACTACAGGATGCTCATTTTTAAATATTATAATGTCAATCCTCCTTATGTAAATAAACTACAATGTGTTTATCCGATGTTGCTGTGAATTGTATCGAATATTGTAGATCATAGTTTAAATTGTATTTCCAAATCTCCATTTTATTTACAAAATTTTTATACACACAATATAAACTATTTTCCTAGTTGCTTGACTTTGTCTTCTTTTTTTCTGTATATGATAGAGATAATTTATTAATTCTATTGATACTAATGAATTGTATGAATTATCGATAATAATATGTACGTATATTATATAAAATTATGTATGGACATACTGCGACTTCGCATCATTTTTTTGGGAAAATGTCGGTAACTTACTTTTTTGAGGTAATGAGTCTTCGATTACTTCTAATTCATCCCAAACGTCAGAAAGTTCACTATCATTGTCGTCATTTTCTGCTGTAGTACCACGTTCCCTCTTGCTTTTCTATTGGGAAATGATAGAAGGTAAAAATATGGCATCGTGATATCTACTTCACTTATTATTATGCCTATGAACAAAATATTAATGACATGCAGCAAGAGATATCAAACCTTAAATGATTGAGAATGGAATAAAAGACTGTTTAACTTTGATTTCAAGTAAAACTGTGCGAAATAAGAAGTGAAAATTCAATTAGAAAATTTGATTATATCAGGTTGAAGTACCCTCATCCATCATACAATAAAAAGAATTCAGGAATTAATAAGGCCGTACTTTATATCTAGGCTGCCTTGACTCAAGATCAAACACTCTCAAGTGCCTATCTAGCCCACAGGCTGCAATGGCATTTTCAGAGGGATGACAAGCAATTGACCGAATTGAACCTGTACAGCCTTTAAAATTGCCGACTGGACGTTCTAAATCCAAAAAATATTTTAGTTAATACGCGCTATGACGATTTGCAAACAGTATATCAACAAGTGTTTATAGCCGAGAACTTTACTTGATTTCAGATCAAATAACGTCATAGTCCCTTTATTATCTCCCACGATAACTCTCCTAGCATTAGAATAAATGTTAGTCTCCTTTATCAATAAAGTAAAATGGAATTATACTCAGACAATTAGCGTAGATAAGAAACTTTTACCTTTGCTCAGGCTCGAGTGCGAGGGACAGAAGCGGGGAATTGCCCAATTCTGTTACAGAAACAGGTCGTCTTTGGGCTCTAGGATCGTAAACTTGAATCTGTGGTATTGGATTGGATTCAGACAATATAACAATGTCTTATTTGATATTTAATGAAGGATGCAGCATGAAAGAAATGTTCGACGATACCTTATGATATTTTGATACTGTGATGATTTCTGGTTGCTGATGATTACAAGGTAATATTGCAATATTGGTAATCCATACAGGTACTTGTAAACCTAGCGAATCATTTGGCATCTAATATTGAAGGTATTATAATAGTTTAATAAGGTTATAACGACACGTATAGAAACTGCTAATATAAAGTGCATAAATACATTTTTTGCTTTAAAGACAGGTTCCTTTGGTTTTGATAAATCCCATAGTTTTAGATTGTTTTGTTTTCCTCCAGTTGCTACTAACATAGGATTAAGTGGATTAACCGTCATTCTTGAGGTTTGCCCTCCAGTATTTATTTCGGTCTACGGTGAAGTGATATAGTAATGATCGCGTGAAAATACGTATGATAAGATCGTTAATTAAAGAATATAAAATATATTGCGGTTATCGCCGTACTAGATTAGAGTTCTCAGAATTGTAGCATAGCTTCCCTGAATCGAAGCAGCCGATGTAGCAACTAATATTAAAATAAAGGTATTAGCTGTGAAGGAGCAGTAACATTTTGTAGAGAGTAATAAATTTTATTTTAATTTTACCCTTACCCATTGTGATAGTGAAGCCCAGTAAATTGACCTTTACCTACGAATTCGTTCCAGTTTGTAGTATAACTGCAAGTATCCGTATTAAAGTGTTTAATGCTACCACTTTGAAATCCTACACATATCTTTGATAAATTGCAACAAAATACTTTAGTATTCTCAACACTCGCAGAGCTGAAATACGCGTATGTGTATTAACAGGGAATATAGCGCTAGCTAACTAGTGTTTACTGCATGAATTACTAAATATTCATTTAGTAATTCACGGTTTGCAGCTATAAGGTCAATATTGTTCCTACCTACTCCGAATTGTAAGCAAATAACTTCGTGTACTTACCTCTTTTTCATAAGAATCTGTCCAACACATTGATAATATTTCTGGTGGGTTATCCGATGCCTTACAGTCTCCATAGCTGGAAGTGGAGTTATCTTTGAGTTGCACCCCTGATATATAAGGAGATAAAGTAAAGGTAATTACTAAATTATATATATTTACTTTGAGAACGTAATATGGGATGTTCGCCTAATCAGAGTATACAATGTATGTAGTGTAACCGGAATACGATTCAGGCTGTGCTAATTGACTCATTCCTGCTACCAATATCAGTTAACTTTAAAGATCACTACTCTAACTAGACGTTTTGATTAATTCATTGTGCAGCTGTCCACTAGTTATGCTATAACATGTATGCACAAGTACGTATAGTACAATGTATTTCAATTAATATTCAGTATCAATTTATGAAGGACTGTAGTATGAATAATTAATTCTGTTATGAGTAAATTTATGAGACCTTTTAAGATGCCAAGCTGACTTCCTATCCATATATTGCAAGGATTCATTGGATAAAAATCTAAAACTAAAATGAAGAAAGGGCAAGTATAATGTATGGTTAGTACAGAGGATGTAGTATCATTTATTATCGTACTAACAGTTGATTACAGTAAACGTTTAGTTTATAATACTGTATTTATTTTATGAGAAGGGTACAGACGGGTGTTATAATAATGATTCGGAAAATCGATTTTCACATACAGGATTACTGCCATTGGATGTGCAAGTACGATTCAATATTACAAACTGTCAGCTAGACAACAGTACTGTAATACAAGATTAAGACCCATGTGCATTTGTGCAGTTATCTATTTACATTACCTTGTAAATCTATGCTTGCTATTGTTCAAATTCTATTTCAGTAGATTACTTTTAGGTCTATTAATGCAAATGATATCAGATTTTCGATCAATTCAATTCATCAAGACTCCGCTTTTAATTTGCGCTAGGGATTGAACCGAGGCCTTACCGGAGGTGTGCAGTAGCTTTTATTAGCTGGTCTTGCAGGCAGGATGTACACGGTAGAGTTTGAGCGTAGCGAATGTTACGTTGCACTTACTGTGCAGTGTTGTACAGTGTACAGTACATGCATGTACTGTACTGTATCAGCCATTTACAGTACTGTACTGTAGTGTACAGTACAGTACAGTATGGCGCACCTACAGTACAGTACAGTACAGTACAGTACTGTACAGTACTGTGCAGCATGCATGCGAAGTACTGTACAGCGCGATTAACTTCGGTGACACTAAGGAAAATAAACTGCGCAGGTTAAATCAAGCCCAAAGTAGGTAAAATCTGATACGTAGATGTAGCCCAATAACTTAGCCTGTACATATAGATTTTGGACAGGAGTGTTAACAAATTGCCACTTTGAATTTTCGACACCATCTTGCCATCGAAGTGAATCGCGTTCAGCAGCGAGAGATTGTCTTATCTTATAATTACTGTAATGGGTCTCAATTGGGTCTCATGTGGGTCTCATGTGGGTCTCATGTAGGTCTCTGACTCATCAAGTCATTACGGACTACTGTATGTACGGACTCGATGAAGGCCAGCCAAGGTCCTCAGCACAGTTCATACAATACAGTACTGTACTATACTGAACACTCACTGAACAGTACTGAATGTCACAACGACTAGCATACTGCAAAATACGTCAACTGACTGTACCGGGTGCGATTCATTCGCATACTGTGCGTGTTATTTACTGGACGCAACGGGTCAGTCAGGCCTGGTCAGACGTGAAAATGAACAACTGACTTGTTACTAGTGTGACTGTGTAGTACGTGTTGTTGTGGTCATGCGCCAGCTCAATTCCGACGTCGTCTAAGAAACGATCAGTCATGGCGACCGGTGGTGGTTCCCTTGAGGTTTCTGGTCCGGCGACATGCATTTCCTTAGACCATTGCAGAGATATTATTTCAGTGACATACTGTGTACCATTAAATTGTATTATTGTAGGTGATATAGATGGACAAATTCATGTCGTTGATGCACATTCTTATGAACTTTTGAAAAGGACTCCAGTAGCAGGTAATGATTGACTGCTTAGTCTTCACCATATTGAGCTGCTTGACTATCCATGATTGGAATGGAGGATTGTGTATAAAAAGAGTATATCTTTTCTAATTGATCTAAACATAATCGCGATATCGAGTAGATGATTCATATAGCATATCCAATACGGTACAGTAGTTAGAATAATAATTTGGATAATTTCATGTTGGTCTGCTGCTCTACTGTCGAAATAAACATCCGTAACATTCGTACTTGGATAATATACTGTACTGTTGTTAGAATAGAAGACAATACTGTACCATGCAAACAGGGTTCCCCCATTTTCGCATGGAGAAAGAACATTGCCTGTACAGTAGTATACAGTAATGTTAGTCAACGAACTACTGTAGTAATTGCCATACTTATTAGTTTTTTGATTAATCAATGTCATTATAAACTTGATGGCCTTTCTTCGTCCAATCCTCTTGCACATAGGTTGTATACGTAGGTTAATATGATAGAGAAAATGTGCTAGCTACTTTTCTTTTTCGTGAATGATCTTTACAATAAGTCATTCACTGATTACACACGACTACTGAATTTATGCTAGACTAGTAAAGGATTTTATGATGCAGACGGTAGGATTGACATAATGAAATCATAGTTAGTATATTCTCCTGGGACAAGTAGTAATTTCAAGTTTTTACGCTATGATCTATTGAATTTTGAAGGACTCTAAGAAAAGATAGACTATAAGATAGTCAGCGATCTGGAGGTATCCTAAGATAATTCAGCTTGACTTCTCCCCATTCAATGTACTGCAGACGTTAATACATTTGATTAGAAGATGTACAGTATCTACATATAGCTACATTATATGATGACGCTTACATTACATTCTTCTACTCCTTGCATTGAGAATTTAGTCGTAGATACCCGAGGTCATTGATACATTTTCTAAATTACGCTATTGTACGCGTATTTGCAAATATCTTGACATTTTGACCCCTTTTCACAGGTAGGCGTACGGTGCCTACGATAAATAGTCATGTTACTGTATTAATTTAATGTTGTGCTTCATACTCGCTATCCAATTACGAGTATAGAGTGTTAGTGAAAATGATTAGATGATGATTCTTTACCTAGTGCTGTAATTAGATTCTCGCTAACATCATGTCAATATTAAATTACATCAACAAGATTATATTTCATAGTCTTGAGTTCTATCGTTCAATACCTTGGATCCATATTTGCTTACATAACGCGCTCTAGTTTTGATCGCCGTTGAAATGAATACTACTACTTATCAATTAGTAGTTTATGCTACTACAGTATTCCAACTTAATCAGTATGAGGTAACACTTTAGTGCTATCTTTTAAATTTCCTAGACATGCAAGAGTCGATCAAATCGAACAGACATGATGCTACCGATGATCGTATAACGCGCAGATTTATCTGTGATATTATTCCATCATAATGACATACTTAGGGCAGACTATGATAATAATAGTAATAAATAATTCTTTGAAAGTTTATGAAAATCTTTTGTCAGTTAACTACAATATATCGAAATGAATGCGTTACGGTACTGCTAGGTTACGATTACTGCGACTTTAAAATGTGTTATGATTACGAGATTACGTATGGGTAGCATATTATTCTTTGATTAACATTTATTATGAATGAGATAGTTTATAGCATCATCTTATTCATAAGCTGTATTTTATGCTAGCTTGGTCCTTTTTTGATAGGCATTAAATACTCATGTCTACATGCGGAACTGATAAAATGGAACATTATTACATACTTATAAATTAAGTTTAAATCTAGGTGTACTGAATGTAATTTTATTTCATATTTTCGTATAATACGTATGTTAAAATGAATATATCAAGAACAGCATTAAGTAATTAGTTTTGTTGATTATAATGATAATTATTATTACAGAAGAAGCGAGCCCTTCAAATACGCTAAAATGCGAGTGTATTGCAAAGTCTGACTGCCTTATAGTTACTTGTGGCCAAAAGATAGGCATGAGAAAAGCGATGAACGGCATATTTTTATTGGATACAATTCTACAAACTCCGGTGCAAAATAAAAGTCAGCCAATCTGTATAGATTTACAGCGTCATGAGGTCCGCATCGTACTATCGCGATAAGTGATCAATAACAGTTAGCGTTGTAAAGATATCATTGTATAAAATCTGCATTTTAATTCTATCGTATACACTGTAATTCAATGATCTTTCAACTAAATTGATCATATTCTGTCTTTACGAGATTATGTTCAGTCTTTCATTATTTTGCAATGGAAAAGCAGTTTTAAGAAGCTCACAACTTATCATTATTTCTATGATTCAGGCTGAACGCATGATAAAATATGTGGAAAACAATATTTCTTTGGATACAAATTTTGAAAATTCATGTAGGAAATTATACGATCAAATTACGGAATATTTGAATAATTACAAAGAGTATGATCGCAAATCTGCCAAAGTACGTATAGTAGCTCTTGATCGAAACCTTGTACTTTTAAAATACAGTCAAAGCGTAACGGTATACTATATATATTACGTTATATAATAGTGGTCAACGTGCTCGCTGACTTTGCAAGGAGATAGTTTTTTGTCGACCTTAGCTGAATTAATGAATATCTTGGAAAAAAAGATGAAATCTTCATTGCCATTATTGTCGTCATTAATGGAGCGTGTCAGTAAACTGTGTGGTACGGAAATGAGGCAATTGCGAGGTAGTGATCGATCAATTATGTATGCTGAACTTACGCGACTAAAATCATTTAAAGTTTGGCCGCATATGAACTATAAGTAAGTTGTCTATATGCCATATTGACTGAATATAGTTAGCACCTTATAGGTATCTATGTATTTATTATGGTCCTCTCGTGACGATACGATTTCGCTTTAATGTTAATTTTTAGATGGGCTGTGCCTAGAGCGATGGCTGAAGCGGGATTCTTCCATCAAGTAAAATATAATATATCCATTTAGCTATATTTTTTGTATTCGTTTTTGCCTATACATTTTCGTATATGATTTTGATACAATCTAAAGTATGGTGTATTATCTCGTTTTAACGGCTAATATAATTTAAATAACTATTCTACATAATCTCTTTTTCATTCTTTTTATCTATAATTATCAAAGCCGAACAGTTTAGGAGATGATCGTGTAAATTGTTTTACATGTAATTCTTGCTTAATAAATTGGGAGCCTTCAGATGAGCCTTGGTTAGA